CACCTAGAAAGCATTAGCTCATTCAGTGGATTGCACCTGCAATGTTTACGGTAATGTTTGCTTGGAAAAATTTAGTAAACCACGTAATCTGTCGGACTTGACAGAAGAACGGAAGAACAACAATACAGGCTCGTTTTTGTTGATCAGAACCGCGTAGTAATGTTTTTACAACTTTTGACACAGAACTGTGGTGTTTCCCAAAATGCGTCTGAGCCAGCCAGCCACAGTGAATGTACTAAGCACACCAGTGGTGAAAGGTAAGAGATGTCACGGTCGAAATTTTCATTGATTATGCTGGATATCTGGAGAATATCAGGTTTTCATCTTCAACGAGTAGAACATTCGAATGTTTGGTGAGAAATAAGCGTTAATCCGATTATTTTCTTAACAATTAACCAAGATGATAGACATTAATAGCGCTTTACGATGAAAAGTGAAGTTATAGCGGAGAACTGCGTCGAAAATAGTTCTTTCTTTTAAAAACATACGCGTCGTTTTATTCACTTTCACAGTGGCGTCAACGTGAGCAAGCTGAACCCTCTAGCAAGAGAATTTCGTCCATCATCTCAGGTCTGCAATTTCACTTTCAGTAGATGGTGTGATTCGTTTTTAATGAGCTTTGTTTTCCTTGCAAATCATTTCTTTATCTAACAAAAGAAAACGAATTCCTCCATCGATTAGGGATAATATCCTAACGAGCTTGTTGTTGTATAATTTCTCTACAGACTATTTGTCCAAGGAAAGAAGTGCAACCCAAACGTAAATCTCAAATGGTTAAATTCGATCCACCAAGCCAAGGGCGGAGGCGGATGCGGTCATGCGGTCCTCCTCAAATGCTTGGGCTGGAGGCACCTCCGTGGAGCCATCCCCTGCCAAACCATCTCCCACCAAGGTTCCCTCCCATCCCACCAGGTAAGTACAGAGCAAAGACTTATCGCGGCGCCTTAAAGTCATACACACTGACAATCTGGTGAATCATATTGTATACATGGCTTCTTATCTTTCAATGCAATGTTATTTTCAGTCTAGAGTAAAATCCAATGAAATGAAACTTGGTGATTCAACGCAATGGACAAGTGTCCAGTGCAACGCTGTGTAGAGGAATGCAAAGATAAATTATCTACTCAGAAGGGAGGGGTGCAATTATATTTAATTGTACCTTAACTCAACGAAATGCAAAGCGTACACAATGCAACTGTTTTCATGTAGCTACTCTAGTTTCATTTCAAAAAGATATCTAACTGCAGTGTCAAACAACTTGCTTATTCAACGTAACTCGCAGAGCCACTAGGCTAATACGAAGTGCAGTAAATACGGCGAAATCTGGTGCAAACACAACACCACTGCGCCAACAAGGCCTGAACCCTGTAACAGGACAGTGCAGCAACAATTCGTGGTTTACTGCGGCATAATACAGCGGAATGTGAGGGTATAGCAATACAACACAAATCAATTCCTCTCATGGAGAAAAATTCACTAAAACACGATTAAACAGACCACAAGGAGACGGAATGCAGCTAACACAAAGTACGTGATACGTTGCTATTAATAATTATGAAAAATGGTCTCTTTTTTGTAGGGAGACATTGCAGGTTGGAAAGACCAAGGGTGCGGTTTTCTGCTTCCAGTAACCGGCCAGTTCCCTCGCCGATGAACATGATGCCCAGCACGTGGCCAAATAACGATAGATATTACACGAACCAAAGAAACGGAGCCCCTACAAAACATACCCCTCATCCCAATTATCCCGTGGGGCTGTCACCAGGAGTTGCGGATGACCAGATGCGGCCTTCTGTTCCAAACAACTGGCCTATTCCATCATCGATGAACATTATGCCCAATGCTTGGCCACATACAAGCATGTGTTACACGGACCGAGCAAAATGTGTCCCTGCAAAACTGAATCCACATGCCTATAATCCTGCGGGGCCTTCACGAGGGGTAGAACCACGGCCTCGGCCTTTTTTCTCCAACAACAGGCCGACTCCTCCACCGATGAATATTATGCCCAATGCTTGGCCAAATGCTAACATGTGTTACATGGACCAAGGAAACGGTGTATCTGCCGTGCAGAATCCAGATGCTGGCAATCCCATAGGGCCTATGCCAGGAGTAATGCCGTGGCCACAGCCCTTTATTTCTTCCAACACTTGGCAGACTCCTTCATCATTGAACGTTAGGCCAAACACATGGCCAAATAACAACGTGCCTGACATGGACCAAGGATTTCAGATACCTGCGGAGCAAAATCCATTTCCTTACAACAACGTTGGACCCGGCCCGATACAAGTTCAACAGTTATCATCATACCCAACAGGTTTGTTGTTCACATTACGGTTCCTCTTAATGCCCAGGCATGAGACGCCTAGAACGTTCTTTGATGAGCATCTTACTCATTCCTACCTTCTAAAAGCGTGTATATCAGGGAAAAAGCATCTCTGCACTTTAAGCATACTTTTAGGCATAGTTTGGGTATAGAATATTCATATTCTTAGGAGTTTAAATGACCGAGTCATTGGCCACAATCAGTGGTTTTATAATTGCTATTAGACCTGACACTTAAATAAGTTTCTCATCTTATCCTATCAAGTACCTTATGCGGAGCAGTCTCCAAATGTGCAAAGCCATACTGTTAATCCACCAGAAACTGTGGATCCTTGATCAGTGCACAACTGAAGCGCTGAACCGTACGCAGCAGGTTTGTATAAACACTTATTTGAATGTTCATTTTTAATACGTTGTCACGAAATCATCTAAAAGCAACAACTCAACAACAACTTTATTTTTTCACCCCAAAATATACAAGAAAGAAAAATTTATAATAATAGTACAGACAATGATAGGGGCGCTGGCTGCCCGAAATAACCTAAGAGTTAAAAATGCCAGGCAGCCAGCTTCCACGGCCAACCCTCGGAACATGCAGAAACAAGCGACCCTTCCCACAGAGTTGCCATAAATGTAACAAGCCAGACTCTCACTTGGTCTGAGTGGTATAAATTCCTATCCAGCATAGGCTAAAGTATAATTGACAGAGAACGACTGATTGCGCTACGTTCGTCAGACAATATGCTGTATCTTGTTCGTGAGGAGAAATATGTCGAAAATGCGGCTCCGTGTTGGTACTTGAGCAACTGCGCTCCTACTCCTCCCCTACCTTAACTTTAACTCTAACTTGTTATTAGTCGATTGTTATTGGGTCAGGGGAGGGGTAGGTAGGTGCTTAGTTGCTCAGATACTGACATTGAAAATGCCTTTTGAGCATTGATCGCCTTGGTTTTTAAGTTGAAATGTAGAAAGGAAATAGACATTATTTTCAATATTTTTACGACCTGTTTTTGAAAATGTTTATTTATCAACAGGTGACTTACATGACACAAGTTGCCAGAATTTTTCTGCGAGGACTGTTGTCTCATTTTTTCTATTAACTTTTTAAAAAGAGTGTTTCGATATATATTTATGAATGCAGATGTCAAACTAACTCTTTGTTATTAGCTCGTAATGCTACCACATATGTTAATTGTAAATTGAGAAAATACATCATATTAAAATGATAAAAAATATTAGATTTCAGTTGTCTTGGGGTTTTTACTTATCAAATTAGTAAATGATGGCTACAATAGATTGCTCTAACAGCCAAGTTTGGATTTTGGACAGCAGTGTCTAGTTTTGGATTTTGGACACTAGTGGCCAATTTTAAATTACAGAAAACAATGGCCGATTTTGGATTTTGGATAGTTGTACCCAATTTTTAGATTTTGGACACTAAAGTCCGATTTTATATTTTGGACCCTAGTGGCCGATTTGGATTTTGGATACTAGTGGTAGATCTTGGATACTAGAGTCCGATTTTTAATTTTTGGAACTTGGACACTAGTGTCCTTATTTGGATTTTAAACCTTAGTGGTTGATTTTGGATTATGGACAGTGTTCCTATTTGGAATTTGGAACTTAGTGACCGATTTTGAATTATCAACACTAGTGGCTGATTTTGGAATTTTGACGACAGTGGCCGATTTTAGATTTTGGGCACTGGGGGTTGATTTTTGATTCAGTGAACACTGGTGCCTAATTTTGGATTTTGGACACTTGCGTCCTAATTTAGATTCTGAAGTGTGGTGGCTGATTTTGTATTCTAGACACTAGTGTCCGATCCTGGATTTCTGGACGCTAGTGTTGAATTTTTGATCGTAGACATTTGTATCCGATTTTTGGGGCTACTGCCTCCTACGTAATAGGGGGTGGTGCCACTGGTTTACGAGGTTGAGTGAGTGAGCAAGTTGTGGATAAAATGTTGTTTTAAACTCAGAGCTAGAGCTCACTGAGTGACTCCAAAAAACATTCTTGAGTTTTTCACCTGGTTTTCTTGTTCGTGCCATATCACCCTGCAGCAGAACTCTAAAATGAAGTATTCCATCGTCGCAAGCCCCAAGAACCATAGGGGCCCGATGCTACATTCTAAATGTAAGGAATAGTATTTCAAGTCTTATTTCGAAAAGCAGTACTTTCTGTTTCATTTCCTAGTACTTTTGCTGTCGCATTGAAGAGCTATTTCAGGCTATATTTCTGTATCAAACTTAAATTTTATCGCGTTTGTTGTTAACCCTTTAACTACCACAAGTGATTAACATGTAATTTATCCTTATATATTATTTAGAACACCCAAAACTTATCAGGTACAAGTTATTGTGTTGATTTAACACCAAATTCTCGTATCTTATTTACAAGGAACTGTGTAGCACCTGGAGGGGAAATTCTCAGATCTTGAGGGACTTCGAGGGGAATGCTAAATAAGCGAGGAGACCTGGAAACTAGTCTCTCAACGTCTCGAATGATTTCCCGCGCCCTCCAACTTCTTTTCGCTGTTTCCGTGAGCGTAGGCTGGCGTTTTGTTGTTTTTAGAGGCCTTTCATTTCCTAAGTAGTGGATGTATGGCTCAGAATTTATCTTAAAGATGACGCAAATATTCTAGAACCAGTTCTTGAGAGGAAATTAACGTTAAAATGGAGAACGACGACGGCCAGTTTGTGTACACCATCCATGGCGTCAAAGTTTCCTTTCCTTGCAAAGCATATCCAACCCAGCTGTCCATGATGAACATGGTGAGGTTTGAATCAACCAGCTACATGGCTCCGACTTTTGAGAAAGTTGCTAATGATGCGAGATTATGTGTGTGGTTTACTGATCATTGAAGTAACTGTTATTGTGTTTAACAAAAACACGCGAGATCGAAAGAGATCGATAATCGATTAACCCTCCAGGGGACTTACCTGATTAAAAATATTTTAATACTTAAAAAAAAGATTTGAAACACTGCCATTGTAACAACACGGAGACGCAATGAAACAGTGGGATAATCACAGTGATAATGATAAATAGGTTTTTGTTAAATCTCTAATGAAACAATTCATAGTAATCTGTTATTAATTATGATAATTATTTATCGAAGTAGATGTGAATGGCGGTAGATATTTAATCGGTGACTTCGCAGTTTGGTAAATATCTATCACTTTGGATGACAATGAGGCAAGAATGAACTCAAGTAAACAGCATGCAAGCAGAATAACTAGCTGACCAATTTATGTTAAGTGCTTGGAAATTATAAAAGTCTTGGTGCATAACAATGCATGTTAATTTTCACTCAAAGGAAAGTTGAGTCAAAAAATGTATGGGAGGCACTTATTTTACTTGTTCTTGCTTCATTTTCTTCAGTTGCCATATGAAATTAGTCTTATTGTAGAAACCACTCTGTCTTTAAAACAGCTGTTTCATGGATTGCATTATGACATGCGATCAAATTGCTTTTCATGTGTTGGTATTTGTGCTTGTATATGTATCTGCATTGAAGTAGTTCATATAAATTTTGCATTTGTTTATCTTTGCATTGGCATGAAACTTGTAAACCAAACCAATTTGTTTGCCATATATTTGGTTGTTTCTAAATGATAATACTACTTTAAATTGACATACCTTTGACCCCTAATACTTACCAGCATCTAGTTTTTCTGAAAAATGTGGCTCCTGAATCAAACAGTAGGGTCACAATAAAGGATATTATTACTAACTGAAGAGCTTCTTGCTTATTAAAAAAAATTCTCCTTGTCGTTACCCTAGGAAATGTATAGAGAACAGTATAGAGAATATGCATACTGATGTTTGGGTGTAAAGGGTACATGTAAGTTAGGATGATTACAGCCAGTGGATGTTTACACAATGATTGTCATTCCTTCTTCATGTAATTTTTCACTGTTGCTTTATATTTTAGATTATCAAAGGAATTGAAAGGCATCAGAATTCATTGCTTGAAAGTCCAACAGGAAGTGGGAAGAGTCTAGCCTTGCTTTGTTCTTGTTTGGCTTGGCAATCTGCAGAATATGGTACAAACATTTGTTAATGGCAATTCTCTTACTGATTGTAGAAATGACATAGTAAAATGCTCAAAACTAAAGTGAATCTAGCTGAGGGATTTTGCAAGTAAAATACATTAATAAACAGATAACTGTTCGAGCCACCACATACATGTAGAAGTTTCTGTATTTTGTCTTGTAAGTGGATGTCTAATTCTGGTTTTTATCTTTATTACCAGAAAAAAAGGCAAAGATTGAGGAACAAATGAAAGGTTGGTGGTTATTTATGTTGTCCTTTATCTTTTGTACCAAGTCTGTTGGGCTATTATTTAAGGCATTGATTTTTCAAAGGAAACACTTTTGTTTTAAAATTGTAGTATGGTAATACAAATGAGGATTTGTGATTTAAAAGGTGCATGAAGAAAGGTTAGTTTTCAAACAATGTGGAAGCTTAATAATTGTTATGGTAAGCTAAGATTTGTTACTGCAGAATTCCATCCTGCAAAACCCCAATAGTCTGACAACCATGTTATTTTGGCCACATTTTGTACTCCATGAATGAATAAAAAGCTTAGTCGCACGTTTATCCTTGGTGGCGAGGCTTATTTTACCAACAGGAAATCACATTTATTTTATTTTCTCTTATACAGCAGAAATAGGGAATGATGAATGCTGTATTAAGACTTGCAGTGATGAACAGAAGCAGCTTCCAATAGGTACAGTGATAGACTATGTAGTCTGTAATTCCCCTGTTAATTCAGTGAACAATTTTTAGTGAAATGAGACAAACTGAAAGACAAAGTATGATTTCCAAGCTTTGGTTACTCCCTGACTTATACACTGGCTTAGGTATGTGTGTACCCTCCCTTTATAAAATTTTACCTCAGAGGATACTGTATTTCTTCAAATGAGCACCCATGTTCTAATTAGTGCCTTCCTCCAAATTAGCACCCACCCTCAAGGCCATGATTTTCAGTTAGTTCCCCCCTTGGAATCAATAACAGAATCAGAGCAGGAGAATACTCAGTGCCCCCTCAACTTAGCACCCTCCCTCCAATAAGTGTCCCCCATTTAAATAAGCACTTGGGCACTTGTTAGGGGAGATCAAGGTTGGGCTCTAAGAAAAGTTGAAGGGAGCCCAGAGCTCTGAAACTGTGAAATCCAGGGTGCCCAGCATATGCTATTTATGAAGAAACTAAAATTCCTGAGTCGCCCATGAGCAAAAGTAAGGTACCAGGAGCCACTGGGTGCTGTTAGACCACAGCCATGGAGATACAGTATTTAAAAACAGATTGAAGAAATCAATATTATTGGGCTAAAAATAGAAAAAAATTTAAGATTGTTTACTAGAGAATTCTTTAAGAAAAGAGTGTGTTTATACCTCTGGCTATTCATTTTCAAGAGGTTTTCTTCACACTGATATTTTCCTCGGAAAATTTATACCAAGAGCAAGGTTAGACATGTGGAAAGGTTCGTATAACTTTGACAACATAGAGCTGAGATGAAGGAATGTAAAGAGCAATTTAAAAAAAAATAAATAAATTGGAAGGAAATCTAAAGGGCTAGATATATTTTCTGTTTTAAACTTTTGTCAATTTTTTTTAAAATATGCATCAAGATGCTTCAGTCAACATAGCACAAAGCTTGCCATCAAAATATTGATGTCAGAAATGTCAGACCAAGCATGGACCAACTTTCATGGAAAAATATCTTATCATATATTATATATTTCTAGCATTTATTTGTTAATGTATTTTTGGTTCTTTAGATCCAGCAAACATTATCAAAAATGATTATTTCCAGCAAAATAATTCCAGTCTTCATGTAAAGATTTCTCCTGAAACACCACTGAAAACAGAAGCAGCAGTCACTCTGAAGAAGATGCCAGGTTTGTTTTTATTGGTTTTTATTTTTTACAAATCCAGTGTGACATGCAGAATTTTGACAATGTATTATACTCTGCTTAAAATATCATTTAAATTGTGAAAGGAGTTTAAATGAAATCCAAGGTATCTATGGTATAGATAGATTTAACTTTACAGCAACTTTATGTCTAAACTTCTCTCCCAGAGCAAAGTGAGTCACTTCCTGGTAAAGATATTAAGTCTGGAAGCCCAACTGATGATGATTTTCAACCAGCCAAGAAGCGTTTTAGGACTCCAGGGAATAACCAGGTGATGAAAACTCTTATTTACTTATTTGGAATATTTAAAAAGGTTGGCCAAGTTCAGATTTAAAGCTGGTTTAAATGAGGGCCTGTATAAACAATTTAGTGAGACCAGACAATAACATCAGCAGTGACAAGTAAAAGAGAGCTGTTTCAAAAGGTAATGAGGAGAGAATTTTTCCAAAATCAAATGGCTTTAATTCTTTTATGAAATTATAAGAGCAAAGGTTTGACATCAATTTTTTCTATTTTCAGATCAATTTCTAAGTATTTTTTTGAACTGAATATGTTTATGGAAAATGATGTCCAGTTCTTTCAGAAAATGTTCTCAAATTAGAATAGGACAATATTATTTTTGTGTTTTAAGAGAATAGTGCAATTATCCTAGGAGAAATTAGGGATCATAATTAACTAAGTGGTAGAATGATTTGATTTTCATTTTGAGTTGCTGTCTCATAAACATAGGTAGGTTAAACATAATTTTGATAATGAGATGGTGGAAGATAAAGATGAGAAAACTTCAAAAATCAAAATCTCTTGTAAAAAAAGAGAAACTGAGATGATGTGAAAAAGAAATTCTATCTGATCAAAATGATTTTTGAATACATCAGTGTCAGTTTCTTCTATAAACTACAAATTTTTTAATTGAGCATAGTTTTTTTGTTGAATTTTCTTTTCTTCTGGAGCCATTTCATTTTAGGATAAATACGTTCTCACCTTTACAATTTAAATTGATTTAGCAGACTGTGTCGTCATCGAAAAAGAGGCGTGTCCATCCTAATGCTGGACCTTCAGGTGAAGATGAAGCTGATTATGAACCCCCAGAATGGACCATGGAGCTAACAACAGATAGAGAAGGGAAAAATACTTCACCAAGTACTGCTGCAAATGCCCTTGATAACAAAGACAAGTTATCACCAGATGATTGTGGAAAGAGTGACTCAAAATCAGAAAGACTGAAGTAAGGGTTTTTCTCTGAAAAGAAATGTCATACATTTTCAGTATTCTTAAGTAAGAGATAAACAGAGCATCTAGAAAGAGTGGTTTCAAATGGTGAAAAAAATTCAAGAGTGGTAGAAGAGTGCTTCTGCTTAAACAATTTTTTTGTCTTAGCCTCTTCTTTTTGTCTTATTTTGGCAACATGAGATGTGTCAAGCATCTTTTTAAATTCAAGTTTTAACTCCAATCTCCATTTTTGCATTTTGTTGGATAAAAAGAGATTCCTTTATTGATACTATACACATACATGAGCCAAATGGGACTCAGCGGGTATTCTTTTTCATTACTTAACTCTTTCACTCTTAGGAGAGATCAAAAAGTAATTTCTTATTGGATTGTCAATACACTATCAACCAGACAAGTGATGAGATGAGAGAAAATTATGAAATAAGAGAATTTTCTGGGTTAAGCACCAAATTCTGAAAGCTCATCTATCGTCATGAGAAGTGTACAGTGTACAGTAACGAGAATTTGTACAGAGAGTCAGGGAGGGAAAGAGTCAGTAGGATAGAGAACACTAGATTGAGTATGCTCCCATGTTATATTTTACATAAACTGGGTAATTTAGTATTAACAACTGAGTTGATAACATTAATTGGCCACCATAAAGAATTCACAAGCTGATGTTTCAAGCATTAGCCCTTCATCAGAGCAATTGAAGGAATTGTAGGTTATGTGTGTGGGTTTAAATGGAATGAAAATGGAGCTACTCTATTGGTGAGAATATTGTGACGAGAAAACAAGAATTAGCTGAATGAAAAGCGCTCATTGATACCTTGAGGATTTAGTGTGCCCATTTGAAAGATAAACTTTTGTTCTAGAGTTTTGCATCTTTACAAACATCCTAGATGTAGGGGAAGGCTGCAAACTGCCATATGCTGCTTAGTATGATGAGGGAGATTAGTGTCTAGCAACTGGTTTGGATGGGTCCTTGTCAGTTCTTTCTAAGTTGCGATGGTGTTCTCGGAAACAGTCACTTGATCATCTTTCTGTTTCACCAATGTATAACTTTTTGCAATAAGTGCATGTTATGTAGTAGATGATATTGGCAGAGGTGCACATGAGTTGATCAGTGATCTTAATGGATCTCTTGGGTCCTGACATTTTCTCTATGTTATGAATGAAAGGACAAGTCTTGCATAGTGAGCGAGGGCATTTGAAAGTTTCAGGTTGGTCATAGGTCATAACATTAAATTACCTTACTTTCCCACTGAGGCAGTACCACTGTTTCTTTAGAAACTTACCCCCTTTAATATTTTATGTTACTAGTCCAACTACTTTCCTATGCTGCTCAATCTGAAAGACTAGAGAACATTGCATTATAGAATGGACAGTGATGTCTACAGCACATATAATGACAGAAGAATCTGGGGCTAGCTAACTTAAAATTTGCATTTTGTTTCTTTATAGGATTCCAAAAATCTTTTTTGGAACAAGAACACACAAGCAAATTGCTCAGATTTCAAGGGAACTCAAGAAGACTGTCTACAAGCACGTTAAGTAAGAACGAAAATGAGATATGAGATGAGTTTTGTTGATATAATGACAAAATAACAAATTTTTCTCCTCAAAAATGTGTCAATAGTGTTTGATCAATTGATCCCTAAATACAATTATCAAAAGATATTGCATACCTTTCGGAAGCAGCCTCTCTTTCACTCTTTTGGTAGACCTAGAAGACAAAGGAAATACCCCGAAGAAAAAAACAATAATCAGGTTATGGCAAATCTTTGAAAATGATAAAACAGTTTCATTTTATTCAGACAGGTTAATTGTGTATAGAGTGCATTAAAACAACTATCATGGTGAAATTTTTAAACAGGGTTCATTCCTGTCCTGGAAAGTCATGGAAATCTGCTTAACTCATGCAATAAAGTTTTTGGAATTTGTATGAGAAATGTATGTAGGCCTTAAGGAGAATGATTTTTGAAATCTTGGGATTGATAGGGTCTAGGGTGAAATTTAGAGTCCTGGAAAAATCAGTCTGAGTTCTGGTAAAGTCCTTAAAATTTGTTTTTGAAAATGGGAGTGATCCCTGTAATAATGTGTAGGTATTATTTCTCTTTACTTATGCAGGATGACCATACTTTCCAGTCGAGAGCATTCATGTGTTCATCCAGTAGTTTCCAAAGGTAAAAAGAAGAATGAGGAGTGTAAAAAGTTGCTGGATGGTTCAGAGGTTTGTAGGGAGCTATATTTCATTTTTGATTTTTTTTTTTTTAACTCAAATTAAAACCATATCAAAATGCGTCAGAAGCGACCATTTTTGGATTCTGTAGTATAAGTATAAGTTGTCAATTTAACAAATAGACTCTATGTTGGTGTGCGTCTGTTCAGTTAAACAAATAGATTTCATTTTCCTTGCCTCTGATCACAGACAGCTTCAAAATGTGATAAGAACAAAATAGTGGGACACAAGATGCAGCCAAGTGTGTTCTGATGATCTTACTATATTTTAACTCTTCTGTGATCTCTTAATTACTGCCAGGTTAACATCACATTTATTTGCCTTGTATAAAAAAATTTTAAAAAAAAGCTTGTTGATGGTAATGTCACCCTATATTGCATTACCTTTGTCGTGCTTCAATTTCTATTAACTTGCGTGTTTTGGTTTCTTTTTTCATAATTTCAAGGGTATGACCTGTAGATACTATCAAAAAGTTCACACCATTCGGACTCAAACCAGCTTGAGATACCATGGTCTGTCTGGTGCCTGGGACATTGAAGACTTGGTAACTCTAGGAAGTCAAATCAAGGTAAATTAGCTTTCATTATCATTAATTATCTCAAGTTGCAATATTGATATATTGTTTGAATAATCTTTCATCATTCAAATCATAGTAAGTGCTAGATGCAAGTTGTACTGATACTACACATAGGATTGAAAATGATTTCTAAACAAAGGATTATTTTATTGTACATTGTGTTCCCTTCTCAGTAGTGTTATTTTTGGTTAATTTTTACCTGTGTTCACTAAAATGCCAATCAAATATTCAACCCCTTCATATTTTCAGTCATAGTTTTTAATGGAGAAGAGAGGTCACTCTATAATTTCTCAATTTTCAGTCATTATTTTTGAAAGGAGAGAGGTCACTGTCATTTCTCCATTTGTAGTCATAGTTTCCTCCTGTGTAGTCAACTACACTCACTTTTAACAGTTACACATGATCATTCTAAATAGAAGTATATTTTGTTATGTCCATTTGTAGGCTTGTCCATATTTTGCAGCAAGGGAGTTAATGAAGGAAGCTGATGTCATTTTTTGCCCATATAACTATCTCATTGATCCAAAAATTAGAATGCAGGTATGATTATGTTTGTTCTTTCTCAAAACATTTGTTCTTAACCCTTTAACTCCCAGATCAAATTTGCCATTCTCCTTAATGTCAACCATAAAAGTCTTATAATGCTAATTCGCTTATCTGGTTGATATTGTATTGATATTGTAAGGAGAAATTCTGTCTTGGTCGTTCATGGGAGTTAAAGGGTTAACTATCTTTCATTTTCTACTAAGTAAAACCTTACAGTTTATTTGAATCAACTAATTTCAACCCCCGGAAATCTTTACAGATTCAGAACAGTTAGATGTGTGTTGCTTATTTGATATTTTTCAGATGGATATAAATCTCAAGGACCAGATCGTTGTTCTAGATGAAGCGCACAATGTTGAAGACTCTGCACGAGAGGCAGGCAGTCTTACACTGACAGCTGTAGAGTTACAGAACACTCTAGATGAACTTGATAGACTAGGTTAGTGAACATAGCAAATCTAGCTTTGAATTTGAAAGTATAGTGCTGTCTAATAAAAGTCTAACAGGTGTGTTGTGCTCTGGGGTCTCATCTAGCCAAAACAGCTCACAGTTAAATGAAGTACCAGCACATACCAAAATCTGATTGCATCCTTATTTATGCCAGCTTCATTAGAAGAGAGTACTCCCTTTTTCCCCTTTTTTTTGTTAGATAGAGATCAGTATTATTTCAAGTATTATTTTTTCATAAGTGCATGAAAATTGCTCTTTTCAATAGTTCAAATGCAGGTTTTGACAGAACACCATCGCCCTTTACATTTGATGGTAAGTATACCCCTGTTTGTATCTAGGATCATTTGTTGTTGTAATCTATGCTTATCCTTAAAGAGTGCATTTGGATTGGTGTGCCCTTCAGTTCATTTCAAATGGTTTCCTGGTGCAAGAGCCTTTACCAGATATAATTATTTTAATTTCCATCTCCACTTTTATCCCTTGAGAGTGGAATGTTTTTCCCAAGAATGTGAACACAGACTGATCTGAGTATATGGTGCCCTTTCAGAAGATTTGGCAATCCATCATTCTCTTGTATATTTTGTAACCTGTACTCTTAAACAAATTTCTCTGAGCCTTGTTTTCACAAAGTTAGTATGTGTACATCTCACTGTATTTACTAATCTTATTTGCAAAAGCTATTATCACTGATAATGAAATAGCATAGTGGTTATTCCCCGGCAAAGATTAAAAAGATTGCTTCCTTCTTTCAAGCACAGAAAAAATGGTGTTCTGACTATCAGCTCTGTGGTTAACTTGATTTTGTTTCTTGGTAAGATTGGGAGTTTTCTGCGATGGATTCATGAGAGTTCTGCACAGTTGAAAGAGAGAAGCTTTGAGCAGTCTTCTAAAGTATGGTCTGGAATGGAAATCATAGCTGCAATGGAGAAACAAGCAATCACACCTGGAACCTTCTACATATATTTTGTATGTGACTTTTTGATTGATTTTTCTATCAGGGCTGACATGTTGTGTTCGAGGTGATTGGCTGGTCATTCAGTGAAGAAAATAGCCAAGTTAATGTGAAAATTTATTTTTAAATTCATAGTCTAATTTTTTTGCTATTTTTAATGTTTTGGTTCTAGAAATACACTGTGGGTTTATTGACAGAAAGTTATGTTTTGAAATGTCTTTAAGTTACCAGTATTCTAGGCAAATTAGATCTTGTTATTTCAATGTATTCTTTTTGTGAACAGGAACATTATCAGTATATTATGGCAACCATAAAAGATCCAACAAGGTACATATAAATTGTGATTTGGCACTTAAATACTATGTTGTATGTCAGTGCTTTTCTTATAGTGGAGTTTGTTTATGTATTTCATGATTTATGGGCACAGGAAATGTTTTTAAGGTTTTGTAAATGCTAAGATAAAGGTTCATTTAAATTATTAAAAATCTCTCTTAGTACTGTAAGTGTATTGTGTATTGTGTATTGGCTTGTTACTTTCCCATAAAAATCTGCTCTAATTACACTAACATTCATTTTGCCATTACCTTTATTTTAATCCCTTTCTTCCATTCTCAGATCAAATGACATGCCTACCTTGTCCTCTCATAGTCAAAGTCTGCTGGAAGGGATATTCCTTGTTGGGAAATATATGATGGCAAACAATATGCAATATATTTCTGATTACAGGTACACTGTTTTCCGATGCATTTGTAAAATTAATGTCTTAATCTTTTAAACCCTGAGAGTGAACAGCATGTAACTTCTCCTTACAATAACACTGCTGAATCATTCTTTAAGATTACGAGAATAAAGGAATTGATCACCAACCTTAGAAGCTTTGATTGTTAGACAAATTTTCCTTGTCGTTGCCAAAATAAACGTATAGAGAAAAGTATAAAGACTATGGATACAGATGTTTGGATGTAAATGGTTAAATGCATTTTTTTTCTCAGGTTTAGAAAATCCTCCACCTCACTTCATACTGGATTTGTTCTTCATAGTACCAGACTCTTATTATTAGATGCATGACATGTTCTTACACATATGTGTAAAATGGCTAACAGGCATGACTCTTGCTAATTAAGAAACTGTCATCACTTTCTGTCCGTTGGTTTGTGTGATTTGTGACACTGAACCTAAAAACCCTCTTTAGGGAGTGGTCAAGAAAGGTGGTTGTTTGTTTGTAATGTTAAAAGTGTACTACCCGAGAGAATTGATTGGTTTTTTTCTAATCTTCCAGGTGTGCAGTACTGAAAACATCAGTCATGGTTAGGGATGTAGTTTTGGTAAGTATATAATAGCTTTAGCAAACCTGAAAAAGTGTAAAAATACGACCAGACGATTCAATTGAATGAAAACATTTGATAGAATTTTTTTCTTTCCTTTTAACTGTAGCCAGGAGGATGGAGACGATCTCATGGAGGTGAGAATCATTGCACACTGATTGATCCTCAACACCCAGACATCAGTATACATATTCTCCATTCTGTCATCTATACATTTGTTATGGTACTCACTTGGTGAATTTATTTATCAATCAACAGCTTTTCTTATGACCTTAATTCCAGGTTCAGCTTTTATACTTTAAGGAGAAATTAGGTTTTTATCACTCTTAAATATTAAAGGGTTAAACACGGTCAGTGGGGTGGCAATTATAGATTTTAACCGATAGTTGGACTGAACATCGCAAAGGAGCGCTTGTTCGAGGGAAAGCGTCGATTCAATGGTTGACGATGTATGGCAAAATTTTGAGCTTAAGATTGCAATAGATGGAAGGAAGAATGGCTGACGCGCAAGTAGCAATGGGGTGTTATTTTATTTATGGCCCTAATGAGGAACTTACTTTATCTGAACAGGAGCTAGAAAGGAATGGACGCAATCTTTGAACTTTTGGTGCTTAAACCCTGCTGTGGTAAGATATCCTCGTGCAAGGATGATGCATTTTCGCTCCTATTTTAAGTCAGTAAAGAATTCTTCTCGTTTGGTGTTAATCTTCAGTAGGGTTTAGATTTTTGCTTGTGGCTTGTTGAAAGTAATGCTAGCAGTAATGTCAGCAGACGTAAACCTTAGGTTAAATGCCACTGTTTTTTTTAACTCGTACGTTAATTTGGTGATAAATCAGATTTGAATTGAGATTCTCAAAGTGAAAATGGACAACCTGCTTGAAGCGCGGGAAAACGCGAGTGACGAAGTTGGGATTGGTTTTACCTCTGCATCCAATTGGTTGAGTCGGTGGCGCGAGTTTTTCGGACAAATCACAGGTCGAAGTAAAGCGAAACCAAAGCAATCTGAGATCCATTTGGATACTCAATTGGATAAGAGTTTGCTCTATTAAGAGAGATACATGTATCTTAATAAAGTGTTGAAGGTACTCATCGTGGTAAATGCCCTGCAAGTCGTCTTCATGCCAAATGATGAAGACTTCCAGTGTGCAGTCAAAACGTTCCAATCCTCATCGGAAGTGACTACATCGTGAGACAAACGGTTATACCTCATTATTTCAAGAGAGATCTCTCCCCCAAGCTTGCCCATGGGTCTTTCCTCTTTGTCTTGTTTTTCGCTCTTAAGGTTTTCTCAGAGCTTGGCTCTCAGGCTCGTTGTATTGTGCTGACGTCTGGAACTCTTTCACCCATGGCTTCATTCTCGTCTGAGCTTGGAATCAAATTCCCGATCCAGCTGGAGGCAAATCATGTCATTGCCAATTCACAGGTATCGTTCCATAATTTGCTCCAAAATTCTAGGGACAATTTGTAGCCGAATAGCATCTGACGGTATACTGGCAGCTAGAAGATGCAGTGACAGAACTAGAGGCTTTATCCCGACTAGGGAATTTGGGAATAAATAGCTGGCCTCAAATCTGGTTGATCATAAAAGTACAACTGTAATTCTCAACTTGTCGAGATAAGCCACATTAATTGAATGTGAAAGCAAATCCAAGGATCATACTGTTTTGAATATGAAGAAGTGAGTTGTTGGAGATACACGACTTAAAGAGACTTAAGATTCTCTTGTAGACTATCCAGAAGGTAGAACTGGTAGGGTGTTGCTTTTGTTGTTGTTATTGTCGTTTCTTTTTTAATGAAAGATTGTCTGCTCAACTATTAGGTGTGGGTTGGGACTCTGTCATCAGGACCAAGTGGATCAGCTATCAATGCAAGTTATCACAGTGCTGAGGTATGCTACAGAATGGCTATGAGATCTCAGTGCCTCCCAGTGATATTTCTTTGCTATGATTGGTTGTTGTGATTGCTTCGGTTTTGGGTTTTGACTCTCAGCCGAAAAGCGTGCTCATAGTCACTTGCGGTCAACAGAGCCTACTCCATTGAATGAAAGGTGCAAAACTTTCCTTTATTTTGATGACAAGTAATAAAATGGTAATGACAGCGAAACAAATTATTTCATTTAACCCTAAAGTTATGCGTACTTATCCTCCCAGGATTTGTCGCTCGGAAATTTTATCCCATAAAGCAAGAGATTGTCTTCAGTTGCCGGATTTTAATTACATCTCTATAATGTGATAATAGCAATAGCAATAACGATAACGGTAATGAAATTGATAAAGATGATGATAATAAGGATGTTAAGAGTCAGGTTTTGTTTTGTTTAACTGAGAAAATTTATTTGTAGACCTTCACTTTTCAAGATGAGGTTGGCAAAATTCTGCTTAATGTTTGCGAGGTAATTTAGATGTCTAGCCATCCATGTAGATATTGAGTTATATTTCACTGGCTTTTTCCTTTGGTTTTATTACTCTTTGCCCTTAAATTGACTCAGACCTGTTTGTCGCCTTCTCTGTAGACAGTGCCTCATGGAGTACTCTGTTTCTTTCCTTCTTATAACATGCTGGACAAGCTAAGCAAACGTTGGCAGGTATGATGTAATAGTAATAGAGGTAATGTGTAATAGTTTTTGTGTTCTAAAGAGGGGGATTTGAATGGTTTTGGGAGATTTAAATTGAATTCCACTCTGGCCGTGAGTTAATCCTAATTTGACCCAATATTAGGCTCACAGGTACTGAAAAAGGACATGTTGTTCAAAGTTGATTACTAATAGCAGGGACTGAGAAATGTTCAAGACTTTCGTCTGTGGAAATAAACAAATGATTGCTTGTTTTTTTTTCACATACAACCTATCAGCTGACTGGTTTTGAATGTACGTACATTGAAGAATAAATATTGTGATTGTTACTGAAATAGATGCGCCATGTCTGGCCACTCATCTTCTACAGGGCGTGAAGAGAGAAATCTCCATTGGGTGAAGCGTTTTCATTGTGTTACAATGTTTTTTTTTTTTTTTTTTAATTTCGCGTAGTCAACAGGTTTGTGGTCAAAGCTTGTGGATAGAAAAGTACTTGTCAGTGAGCCACGCAGTGGGGACAAATCAGGTTGGTTGTGATTTATTTTGTCTTTACAAATGTCTCTTTTGTCATGGTTTTTTCGCGTTCTAAATTGCCAGATTTTGATGATATTATGCACCAGTTTTACCATGCTGTGAGAGCAAGTGAAGGCGAAGAGAGTAACATGCAGCAAGGTAACTTCTAGATACCTTCTTACCTTTATGTCAATGCACTGTAAAATAGTTTACATGTTATCTGAATCGAAGAATGTAATTGATATTATACGGGTAGTGATACCGCTGAAGGAAGAAATAACGCCGCTGGTCTGTGGGGCATTCGTCTTTTATCGGAGATCTCCTTTTTCCCTTTTTAGAGGAGCGGAGGGGGGGGGGGAAGAGAGAGGAGGAGAGAGTTATAGTGGGACTCTCATATTTCTAGCGTTTTAAACATCTTGTTGAGGTTGGAAGCAGAATTATCGTCCTGATTTGGTGATCTTCATTTCGAAAATTGATTTAGGGAAAGGACATTCAAACCGTGTGAAATCGGCATTTAAATAGTGCATGATAACTCAATTTAAAACAATTTAAAACAATTTAAAACAATTTAAAACAATTTAAAACAATTTAAAACAATTTAAAACAATTTAAAACAATTAAAAACCTCTGGCCAGAACTGTTTATCAGATTCTTGAGGTACTTCTAGCCCATACTTTCTGCTGAGCCTTTAAGGCTTCATCTAACGTACCTTCTACTATATCAAGTTCCACTGCTTCTTGGCAAACATTAATATGTATTGCAGTAGTCCCATTATTTTCAGAGATTTCTCGACAAGAATTTCGCTCTTCTTCGCATTCGCTTGTGTGAGATTCCAAATCCTCTATGAAAACGGAATTTTGGATGATATTTCCAAAGCAAATGGACCTGTCTTGTCTTGACTGGCTGGTAGCATCATCGGCTGATCGGGCATGCTCGGGAACACTTCGAACAAGACTTGAGATAGGCATTGTCCGGAAAAGATCGAGGAATCCGTCATCTTTGTCGGGACTGACGGGAAGGCCAGCACAAGAACCTCGGTTGTTTTCAAACAAATCTTCACTCGCTTTGTATACGCGAGAGTGCTGTCTGCCAAAACAACTGGTTAGTTTCTCTCCCTCTAGTCCGGTAACGCAAAACCCACAGAAAAGACATCTGGTGCATTTGTTACTCCGCATAACGTATACAAAGGGTTTGATAGAGCATTGCAGCCAATAGAGCCAAAGGAAAACACATACCACTTCATCTGGTATGAGACTTTTCCTAGGGTAGAGGCTTTTGTTGTTTACGATTCCTGCGATGAAGATAGGCGCTACCAGAATGACGTAGACGAGTATGAACGTCAACAGTGTCCAAGCCGAGTGCACGTGCGCAGCCATGGTTAACTTTTCCTCGTTTGAGAACAGGCCGGGACTTACCCGTCGTCGAAGGGGAAGAATCAAAGACAGAATTTTCCGAAACGAAAACAGTACAAAAAGAACCACAAAAGCTGCGATAGCGATTTCTGTTGCAATGTTAATGGCATTCCAGTGCTTAGGGGCAAGGAAACACATTCCTGTGTATGCATTGTAATCGAATTGATGACTAAGCATAACTGCGGAGGGAGGAATTGGACAAATCCAGGCGAAGCACAGCAAAATGTTGGTGTTCTTTCTCGATAAACTGGGAAAACGCTTGCGATAAATTGCTTGGTATCTCTCATACACCATGGCGCCCACATTAAGGCATGCTACCTGGGCGAAGTAATTACCGAGTGTGACATGTAAGGCGCAGAACACTTGGCCAAAAATCCATTTACCAGACGCCAGTGAAACAAGAGAAAAAGGTATTAGGAGAAGGCAACTAGCGAGGTCTGCAAAACTTAGGCTTGCTACGAAACGGTTCAACGGTGGACGTATTACATCAACAACCAACACAGTATAAAGAACGCGACCGTTTGAGAAGGTGCCAACGAGCATGAAAAGGAGAAGTGAGGCTGTCTTCAGACCAGTTGTGGTCAAACTGTCTTCTTGTTCCAACAATGATCGAGTCGTGTTGTCCATATTAAGTGGTAAGATGTTATCACGACACAGCGACTTTTTCTCTTAAGGGGCAGCCATTTGCACACATAGTAGTCGAGGCGAAACTCTGTTTTCACAATTTAGTTGTAATAGTTTTGCTTCCAGTGTTCGTATGTTTTATAATGACTTCGTTCCGTCGATTATCTGTTTTTATTAAACGAAATTCCTCCAAACTTTCCGTGAGTTTAGTTCATAACCCTTGTCATTAATCCTACATTGTCTTGCTTTCATGTGGTGAAGTAAGGTATATCTTGTGCTGTTTCTTGCTCCTCACCGCTTGAATTTCGATCGTCCCCTGTATTACGTAACTATCATTTTTAAACCAATTTCTGTACTCACGTCTCAAAATTATTAAAAGGTTATCCGTGCATTTGCAAATCTTTAGAAACTCGCTCTCATAGATGGAAGAGTCACACGATATTTAAACGTTCCAAAAATGCTGGAACAGTAATAAAGAACTGAATGACGTAAAGAAACCAAATCAATGAGCTCTTTGCGGTACCGTATTTGGAAATTTTAATGATTTTTCAATAGGATATGTTTCCCCACCTTATTTCTTTTCGTGAGTGGTGGGAAAAGTCTCGGTGGATGGTTGGACAAAAAAAATTAAAAATCTTCAATTTTCTGTTGTCGAATTTGCAAATTCTCAGATCCGTATGAGTATTCAGTTATGAAGATTTTATCAGGAGAGTGAGACTCGCAGAAAGTGAATGACGTGGAAAGATTGCTATGTCAGTAATCGTAACAAAAGTCATTCTTCATAAACAATTTTCAAAATTTTATCAAATTTTCTCTGTAGCTCAGTTTTCATGCAACGCATGATACATAGAAGAAGTCCAAGTAACCGATGAAAACATTTGGCGAAAACGACTTTTATAATAATTTGAACTTGGATTATGATGTTATCCCATTTATTTCACGTTTTCACGCCCTACTCTCACACAATTACATCGTCAATCTTTTCGTCCCATTCTAAAAGAAAGCTGTCACCTCGAAAGAGAGCAGTTATCAATTTCTTGTGCATGTCTACTGAAATTTTGTTGGTTTTGCTTTACTTTACTCTGCGATTGTTTTCGACAAATCGCGCCACTTTCTGAACCAATCTGTTCTATGTTCCAAGTTATTAGGGAGGTGCAGAATATTCGCGAAATAAATTGATGCCAATAAGCAGTATCCATGATTTTATTATGTGTGAGCACTCATCCTGGTGACTTCTGTGTTTTGTGTAGATTCCGATGACGAGTCATGTGTGGACGGTGGGTTGTTCTTAGCCGTTTGTCGAGGAAAAGTAAGCGAAGGACTCGACTTTGCTGATAACAATGCCAGAGCGGTGGTTACGGTAAGAGTACCTGATTAATAGGCCATTTTATAGTCGTGTACTTAGTTGCCAAGCCTGTGATTTAGAGTGAGGCTGACGGTGACCTTGTTGTGATAGAGACCAGTATCTAGTTAGCATGATGACAAAGTAATTTACATTTGAAAAGTAGCAAGGTTTGTATCATGACAAGGTCACCCTTAGCCTCACTCCTGTTCAAAGACTTGACAACCAAGCACACAACTGTGAAATGGACTATTGCCCTCCGAAGCTTTTTGTTAGGGACAAGAACAGACTAAAGCCTCGACTGATTTCGAGAAACTTCAAGATGAAAAGTAGAATAACTGTAGCAAATTTAGAAAGAGTTTTGTTATTACAATTATTTACAATACTACAATTTTCGTGCGACCGCAAAGTATTCAGAAGCCTGTCTTTGTTAAATTTAAGCTATAGTGGTGTAGTATCAGCACAACTAGGGGGGGGGGGGCAGGGGGGGGGGGAGGGTCGCTCAGAGTGACATAATTTTTCCTCTACGCCAAACCTTGAATAGTGCAACATATGCAAAGCCATAATTGCTCCGTATAAATTATCACTTTTTCAGTTTTATTACTGGACTTAAACAAAGCCAGTTGAACTGACCTGAACATAGGAAAGACAGTCTTTTTTTCAGCCTCGAAGGAATTTTGAACAACTTTCTGAAAAATTTTATTGAATTCATCAATCAGTCAGTCACTAAATCGATGATAAATCTAGCCATAAAGTTTGAACAAACCCATCCTCTTAAGTGGTTCAACCTCTCGTTTTTATAAGCCATTCGGTTGAAAACGGGAACTTAGCCCTGCAAATGCATATACTCGTCTGCATCTGTCCCTTTCGCGAGGTTTATACAAGTCACATTTAGGACGCTACAGTCCTTGCGACAGTTAATTTAAAATTAAGTGATTTTCCCTTTTTCTTTCCCACTTCCCCCCCTCGTGAAATGTATATAACGAGAATTAGAAGTGGACTGCATGAAAAAACTCAAGTTTGTGAGATGTTTCACGGAAACTTATCGAGGGTTCTAGTTCCTTTGGAGCTTGTTTTCTTACGGAAATGGCAGCTTCGAGCGCATCTTCAAGCTTCTGTTTGCTTCGGTTATTGATGTTCCACGAAGTAATGTGTAGCGTCGAGAGTTTGCAATTCTGGTGCTTCACTGCTTTACACAAATTTGGCAGCACCACAGCAGTAATTCGGTTGCTGGTCAGGTTGAGCAATGTAAGTTTACAGTGCTTACATTCCAGTGCTTCACAGAAGTAGTGTACTCCTTGATTTGTTATTTTATGGCCCGAAATTCTTATCGCGGTTAGCTGGCAGTTTGGGTGTCTAAGTGTTTCACAGAGCTTTAGTATGAGCGCATCGGTCCAAAAGTCGTCATTGGTCATCTTCAGGTAGGTCAATGAGGAGTTCACATGTTGAAGTGACTCACACAGTTGTGTCAATACATTATCAGTGAGTTGGAGTCCTCCAAGGTTCAAATGGGTGAGTTTGCAACTCCTCTCTTTCAGCGACTCGCATAAAAGACCCAAAGCTTCTGGAGTGATCGAAGTATTCTTAACAAGGTTCAACTTTTTGAGTTTGCAACTGTCCGCACTGATAGCTTCTACCAGTGCAATCAAGCCCTGATCGGTGATATTGTTCTCGGGTATCACCAGTTTGACTGGACCTCCCTCTTTTAGCAGCTTTGAAAGTTCTTTACAACCGCCATCTCCTAAGGAATTGCAAGTCAGCTCAAGGTAGTAGTTTAGCGGCTCAATGTGTTTTAAGAAGTAAACGATTGCTGTGCAATCGGCAGGTGTGACGTTACAGTTCCATAACTGAATGAATCCGTGGAAATCCCTGTTCTGCTTTAACATTCAGGCTACTCTCTTCACTGTAGCCGCGTCATTGTATTCGTACAGGCAGTTCATCATGAGCAAAGCTTTCCTTCTTGACGGTCTGCTAGGTGATTTTGAGAGCAGCGAATCGTGAAGGCAAGACACAATACCCTCGATGGCCTCCATTTTTTTACCATGGATCAATCCTGCAACGAATTGAATGACAAGCTGCCACTTTGGATCCTCAGCGTTGGAAGTGATAAAGATCTTCAGTTCAGCCGGATCCATCTTCGAAATTTCCCTTGCCGCGAGAAACTCTTGTAAGGTTAAATGGATGAAGCTGAAGCGCTGTTTGAATTCCACCGGTGACAACCTTGCGTCAGGTAATTGGGTCAGCAAACCACAATTTGTCATTCCTGCGACTTCTTCTTTATCGAATATTAACCGTCCTTCCTCTATACCTCTCCTCGCCAACGATCCAAGATCAGTCAAAGTCTTTTCAACCGAATCTGAAAAGTTTTCGTTTCCTCGAAATGGTTTATCTCGAAATTCAGGATAATGTGAAAAGACAAACAACCTTAGGGCTCCAAGGTACACGTCCGTCAGTCTTGTGGGCAAAATGACGCTTCCTGCGTCAGGTGGAGATGGCTTGATTAACTCCTTCAGAAAGTAACAAAATATGCGGCAATTCACAGGGATGTAACATAAAGACAACAAGTGTAAGTTACTACTCAGATGCTCCCATATTCTGGCTGCAGTGTGGCCGTCTCCTTGGCAGTATTTGTTCACATATTTGTGAGCTTTCTCTTCCGTAAATCCCATAATTTCCACAGTCCTCTCAAAATGTGAGACCTCGACGCTTTCCAATGCTGTCGGCCTACAGCTCGTCACCACTGTTACATCCGGAAGGAGTTTGCCTTGCAGTAACTTTACGAACAAGGCTGATACCGGCATTTCTTCGGTAGGAGAATTACCGAACCGTGCGGCTTCGTTTGCAGTACAACTGCTCTGGTCCTTAAATTCGTCTAAGCCATCAAATACAAGCAGGATTGTCTCGGGGTTGTCCAATAACTCTTGAAAAAGGCCATGGTCCACTGTTCCTTCCATACAAGCAGCGCGATTAAACAATTGCCAAAGGGAAATCTTTTCTGTCGTTTCTGCATAGAATGATCGAAATTGGAACAAAAAGGCGTACTTAAAACGCTCCGAAATGTTACGGAAAAGTTCCCCTTTGCTCCAGTCCCGAAGCAACTTTCGACAGAGCAGCGACTTCCCGATGCCAGGGCGACCAACGATAAGAATTTTGCGAGGGTTGTCGGCATCTTCGTTGGCTAGAAAAAGGTCTTTGCGCGTCTTGATCTCAACAGATCCTTTTTTACTTTCAGGCTTCAAGTAAAAGTCGTATATTAGATGCCTTTTGCATTCCCTAAGAAATTCGTCAGTAGCTCTTCCGGTGTAAATGATCACATCGAGGAATATTTCATCCAAAGAAACCCTCTTATTTGCGCTTTCCTTACCACAGTGGATAAGTGGTTCCAGAAATTCTGTCTCTTGTAGTATTCTCCTTTTCATGCGTTGACGAGAGCAAACTGGTGTCAGAGCTGTCACGCTTTGGTGAAAGAAATAATTCGCACAAAATTCTGAGTCAGACGCGAATTTGCTTCTTCGAAATGCTCGCACTACAAGATAAACAATTTCCCCGAAGACCAGAAATGCAAATATGACATTAACTGCAAGGACCAACAGTGCGCATGTGCCCTTTTCAGACGCAACGGAGTTATGACAATATGTAATAGGTTTGCTTTTTGCGGACGAAGCGCTCTTTGTGCCATTCAACGAAACGCAGACGAATGCGACTTGAAAGCCGCCTGAATAAAACATGAAGTTTTGCAACACCGCGAAAATGATCCCCAACGACAGTCGTGCGACGAGATGAAGGAAATACAAGAAGAAAATACAACGAGTTTCGACTCTAGGCCGTGGACGAGGGTTTTCTGCGTCTGGTATTACCGCCGCTTGTAGCTTATCCACTCGAGATTTCACGCAACACCAACTGTAAACAAGGCATACCACAATCACCGTAGCAAAATTTAATAGGACAAACACGTAAAGCGGCAGCGGAGAATTATAATGTTGCTCATACTTGTCAAAGCACTGCGCCTGAAGAAATAGTTTGTCAGCCGGTTGTGCGCCGCTGAAATCGCAAAGAAACGTTCTCCTTTCGTTCAGTCTCAACTTGCTTGTGATTCCTACAAATACAACTCCTGCGAAGAAATAGACGATTGCGACAATGTAGCCGAATAAACTGAAGCGAGTTGGAGTTAGGAACTCTTTCAGTCCTTCCATTGGAACGGTGAAGATTTGCTTGACGATCACTTCGAAGCCGAATTAGCTTAAGGACGTAGGAGTCAAAAGCGCTTCTTTTGATTCATTCGTTGCAACAACATCCGCCGGCCATTGAATAGGCAAATAATTTTAAAAATGTGGGAGTTATAAAGTCTTTCTTTAGTCCTTCCAAAGCGACAATGGAATCGGTTACAGTGGATCCACGGATATGAGTAACTCTTCGAACTCTTTCATTGCTTCGACATCGTGTGGAGGTAAACTGAACCCGTAAGCAGCTAGCAGAGAGTAGGAAGATTAAAACGCAGATCACGTTCTTAATGGAGCAACCAGCTGCAATAAATTTTGGAGGGTTATTTTAAGACTGACAAGAAGTCCATTGTCACTGATGAAATAATATGACAGCTTTTTGTATCGTATTTCTGTTTGAACATGTTTTTAAAACTGAGACATATTTTTTCGTTTCCCGGGTGATTTTTTAAACTTTTTCGATTCATGGATTTAAACGGAATTGATAATTTGCTAATGGAAAAAACGCCCTAGGTGAAACATCGAAAAAGAGATTAATACGGCGCAACTGATGTCGGTCAAACAATGGTAAAAATGCAAATTTTATTTAATCCTGTCGAGTGATGTAAATTAAAATCGATATGCGGTTGATGTTAAAAATACAGCTTTTTTCATACATTCAATTATTGTGTTTCAATCCTGTCTAACTGCACAAAATGGGCAGTTTCGCGACATACACATCCACTGAAAGATTTTCAAGATACATCCCAGGGGTTTTTTGACAAAAAAGTCAATAAAGAAAAAGGGAAGACGTGTTAACGACTATGCGTGAGGTCAAGATGGCTGGATATTGGCCCAATTCCCTTTTTTTCTGCGATTTTTATGGAACGAATGGAAGTCGCGGCCAGTAAAAACGTAAAGAAAAAAACGAGGCGAATATTTTGCGGTCTTGTCAGTAAAGGATTTATCACATAGCAAAAAGATATGACTTCAAAAGCCCAACTGTGTTTGAAGCGCAGTAAACCCACGAAAATCGTTTATGTTTTACTTTTTTTTGACTGCCTTCGGGCCCATCTTGCCCGCTCGGATAGCCAATCAGAAGATAGGATTCGCTTCATATTTCCCGTACCGCGGGTGATATAATGAAGGCGTTTATTTTAACAGCTAGGCCGTCAGAAGATCATTGGAATTAAATCTTATAGTTTTTGGAGCCCAGATCTCTTCTCTTTGTTGAAAATCATTCACCTCAGTTGATGTCTTTGATCAAAGCCTTGTCAAAGCGTATTTGATCGAAGTGTTACAAAACCAAAGCTTCAGGGAAAAAAAGCCAATCAGGGCAAAGTTGAATGTCACAAGGAGCCAATGAAAACGCGCTCTTGATTGTTAGACAAATTCTCCTTTTCAGCCCCTAAAAATGTACAGAGAACAGTATGGAGAATATGCATAAACAATCACAGAGCGGCGAGAGGCAAAGCTTATCAGTTTTTTGTCACTTACGGACGTTCTTTACTAAGTCGATTCGTACCCAGTTAGAACTTAATGTGTATTTTACTCGTTTGACTCAACTAACTTGTTGTATGCAACAATCGACGTCTTTTCACGCCCTTGTACTAAGGTATTTCGTGACATATCTGGGCTCTGTTCGTTACTGAATGTAAGGATAGGCACGAATCGATCAACGGTTCGGGTACAACTGACATAAACTAGGTACGAATCGTTTGAATTTGGGTACGAATCGAATGAGCGTGAAACGTCCTTGGGTATGAAATGACTAGTTGCGGAGGCAAAACCGAGGCAAACCGTATGGATGTTCAATTGTAAATTTTATTACTCTTGATATAAAAGTTTGAAAAGTCAGAAAGAGTTTTAACTTAGGGAAGAGACAAACCCAATTTATTTTAACTTGGGTAAGAGACAACCCCAATTTGTCTTAAAAGAACGTTTTCTCTCTCTCTTCTTATGCAGATCGGAATTCCTTTTCCAAATGTGAAAGATGTCCAGGTAATTAGGCGATAAATTATCTGAAATAACCTATCTTGTGCTGTTAGCTATGAAATACAATTGAAGTTCATAAAATGTCGCTGACTGACAAAACTACGTAGGCGATTGTGTCGTCTTACCGCCTGGGTTGGTATGACTTTCCTGTCAGTGCTCAGGTGAAACTGCTGAAAGCCAATCATGATCGAGAATTTGTTATAGTGGCGATGAAACCTCTAGCTACCAAGAGCGATTAGTTTTAAGCCAATTCAATTTATTTATTAGTATTATGATATTTATCTTGAAATTTTGGAAATGAAAAACTAGGACCTTTTTGTATATCCTCCGAAAACGATATTCCGATAGATCGGAATCGACGATGGTATATTTTCTTTTCATTTCGTCCACCTCAAGAGTAGGGTTGGATTCTGTTCTTAAAAAGGCAGACGACGTGAAGGGTAGTTTTTGGGACCTTCACCTTGTTCAAAGCGTTATTTTTCACTTTTGTTTAAAGGTGGAACTCAAACGAAAATACAACACGCAGTATTCAGCGAGCCGAGGACTGTTAACAGGAAGTGAGTGGTATGAGATCCAGGCCTACAGAGCGTTGAACCAGGTTAGTCTTTCAAGTTAATCAAAATGAAAGGTAAAATTAGCTTACGAGCTTACGGGCTTACAGCCAGAATGCTGCTTCTGCTGGAGCTTATTCAATTTTCAGAGGCATGAAGGGACTAGGAGCATTGTTACTTACCTCTTGATGGGATGTTAGTCTCTTGTAAGGTTACCTCTTCCTTCCTCCCTTCCCCTCCCCTCCGACAGTATTCTTTCAGGCTTTCCCGACAGTTAGTCGGTAAGCGCATATTATCCTGTGCACCGAGAGGCTCTTTGAGATTTGAGTGTTTTGCTCAAGGACAAATAACAATCCGCCTGTTGGGGCTCGAACCAAATGCCTATACCGTTTATTACCTTTTTTGCGTGGCGACACGGTTCAAAACAATGCGGAGTGATGATACCTTAATTTTCTTCCGGAGGATTCGATGGAGTTGACATTCTCGTCGGCCTAATTTAGAAAGAAGAGCCTATTACATCGCCGTCCGCATGTCGAAATATTTGTAGTAGAATAAAAATCTATCACAAAAATATCTAAAATCTTAATGCTTTTTTTCAGGCTCTAGGAAGATGCATTCGCCATAAGTGAGTATGTCTTATTTTATATGAACTGCCTAAAATTGAACTCAAAGAAAACAGGCTAGCAAACTAAACTGATACAAACTCGGAGGGCCGGTTATTTACACGAGGTCCAACCCAAACCAACGGTTTTACGCAATCAGTGGACTTCGAGCTTTCTATAAAGGAGGGTTCCTTCCACTGTTAGCTTTCGGCTCTCTTTTGCTCACAAAAATAAATGTTCAGATGAAAGGTTCGGCAAAATTAGAATTCTTTAGGACACGGTTTTGTCATATAACGGCTAAACTTTGCCGTTTTACTTATCAGACTGTAATGGCTTGCCGGAAACTGAGTTCTTTCGTCAATCTTAGACTTCTACTACTATAACGATAAGTGTCATATCGTTTGTATAAGTTTTTTTGGTCTAAGAAACTATTACAACAAGGCTGCGACAGATCGCATGGCTATTTGGTACTTATTTGTCGTCAGGTTACTTCGTTGTAGGCAGTCCGCACCTAACTTACACCTAGCTAGGCTGTGCTAGGCTGTGCTAGGCTATCAGTTAGTGGGAAAGGGCAAAAAAGGGAGCATGTTTACAATGGCGAGCGAGTACTCGAAGAAATCCTTAATAATCACTTAATCTGTTTCTGAATAGAGTGTTTTATTTCAATAATTACGTTTGCGGGTGGATTAAGGCTTCAGAGGGCCGACGGACTAGAGGCTCTCTGGCTTAAAATTAAGTACCCTATAGCGTTGAACCTTCTCCTAAGCGGCCTGGTAACTAACAATTTGACTTTTCACAGGCAAGACTGGGGAGCTATTCTATTGATAGATGAACGGTTTAACAAGTCTCCAAAGTATACTAACGGTAAGAAACTACATTTGTGAACTTCACAACAGGTCTGCTTAGTTTTACCTAACAAAATGTAACCATTTATATAGGGATATCCAAATGGGTCCGAAAGAGAATTGCAAAGTTTAACAACTTTAATGAGGCTATGTCGTCCTTGAAAGAATTTGCAACTGCGCGTAAACTAGATCCATGCCCTTCCGGTAGCAGCCCGGGCTCACTCAGCCAGTTGAGCAAAAGCACAGTGGAGACTCCAGCTAAAGAGCAAGGCGTTCACTTTCGCACTAAACCACTTGAGGACGACAGACTGTCTCCACAGCTTGATCCCAGCAGAACTCCGGTTCAACACACTGGTACTAAACCATTTGCCGAGCAAACATCGCCTGTCAATTATCAAGGAAATAAAATCTCTGGGTTTATGCCTGCGTCTCATTTGACCCCTTCGGCACTCTCTGAAGCCACTCCCCATGGCGTATCTCTTAGTGTTGAGAGGGCTGCCTCAAAACTTGCGCAATTCAAGCGGAAAAGTGTTGGTCAAGACAAGAGCGAGAGGCACGTTTTCAAAGGGATGGAATCGATTTCTGATTTTACACCAAGAAATGGCGGAAATGTGTTATCAAGTAAGCGCAATGAGGTAAATGAGGACAAGAAATTTGTCAACCAGGTGTCGGTTGGGAAAGTTGACTTTAATCATGCCAGCGAAAACCACTCAAATGAACAGCTGTCTTACTCTCCTGTTCTGTTTGCTACGCCCCAGTCCAGTCCTTGTCCTTCGCCTTCACCAGTTAAGCAGGAATTTGACACGTATAAACCAGTTGAAAGAGAAGTGAGGACAGATGTAAACTCTTCGAACATGAATTCCTTCTGTAACACATCAAGTCATGCTAAAACTGTAGAAAATGGATACAGTGATCTAAGCAAAAGTTCAATCCAAGTGTCAAAAGATATCAGTGATTTCGAAGAATCGGGAGGCCAAGGCTTCGCTGTTAAGGAAATTCCCTCCGAGGTAAAAGAAGAGAGTAAGCCACGTGACTTCTTAGACGAGGTTGAAACTGATTTTCCCTTGGATAAGTCTGAGTTGGCAAACCGTTATGTAGACTCAAATGTGGGTGCGAAGAAATGTTTCGATAGGAAAAATTGTAAATCTGAGATGCCGAGCAACGTTCGACAGGGACAGAGAAAGAGTTCGAGGCTCAGACGATCTTCAAATGGCACCGGGTGCACTGAGAAGGAACAGAAAGAAGTATGCGAGGTATCACTGTCACTTTTTCGTTTTTCACTTTAGTAAGGATGGGAATCATGTTGATTAGCACCTGCCTCAAACGACGCTCATTTTTTCCTAGTGTGAAATTTCACGTTGGTGGTGCCTTGTTGTTTGTAGCATTATGTCTTGCGGTCAGTATTTAAAAAGCCGTACTAGTCTCACTAAATTACGAAGTCAACTTTCGTTTTGATTTAATAGTAGTATGGTTACATTTCCATCTTCATCTGGAGTACAATATAGACTTGGAACCACTACGGTCGATTCCATTATGTTGTTTGCGGAAAATCACTTTTTTCACATCACTTTTATTTCATTATTTGATTTTAGGAAAAACCAGAGGTTAAAGGTGGCAATCCTATACTGAGTTGTGGCCGATGTGGAAGCAACCTTGTTGCAGGTGAGTTAGTAGAGCTGTTGCACAACCCAAGCAGGTTTCCAGGCATTTCTATAATATAAATAAGCCATATCTTTGGTATAGGAGGTACGGATACCTTTTCATGATAACCAGGTTAAAATGTTCACAATTAAACCTTAACTCCCTAACATCAGTAGGCATATTCTTCATACTCTTTCGATGTATTTCTTTTGATATTGACATGGAGAATTTGTTAAACAATCAAGAGGTTCTTTAGTTGTTGATCATTTCTTTTTATTATAATGACCTCAATGGGGTGATATTGTTAATTGGAAATCAGACGCTAGTCACTTTAAAGGGTTAATGCACTTAAAATCCCTTTAGCTCCTCTCTTCACCTAGGATATGAATAGGACAAATGAGTATAAATGGGTACAGGTGGGTTGTTAGGGAAGTCTGACGAAATGCCTAGTGATGCCCTCTGTTGGATTTTCATTTCTTCCTGGGAAAATGGCAATACTGTTAGTTTTCATGGTAGGAAACCTGGAATAAGCTGCAACAGTGGGCCATTAGGCTCGTTAACAGAGTTAACCTTTAATTCGGAACTGTAATTAATTCTAGTTCGCTGATATTGTCATCTCGTCCCTGTAGGTCGCGTCGTTGTTAGACCCTTCCCACTAAAGATTCCGGAATTACTGCGGAGCTCTTTTAGGATGTTGGAAACAATTGATGACAAAAGTATCAATGTTATCGACAAGGGGGCTTGCGAAATTTTAAACCTGGGTTACCCGGTTGCAGATGCAAAAAACGATGACTTTTCAGGTAGTAAACAATAGGTTCACTTATTTTATTAAAATTATGTCGGTGGGATTGTTAAATCGTAACCTTGAATCCCGTCAGGAAAAAAACATTTAAGAGTGAAAAGAGCAAAAGTGTAGAGACTGTAGGCCCTTGATGTTATTTGTTTCTGATTTCGATCTCTGATTTGTCTTCGTTTTGTTTGGTTTCTGTTTATCTTCATAACGTGGGCGAAACACAGTGGGACGGTTATTTAAACAAAGTTTAGCTGTTATACAAAACTGCGCTCCAAACAATCCTAAATTTAGCTGAATCTTTTTTCTGAACATTTATTTTTATGAACAGTGTCAAGAGGGCCGAAAGTTAACAGTGGAAGGACATTTATTTAATAAAACCGTCTTACAGAGAATACGTAAAGCCCACTGCTTGCGTAAAACCGCGGTTTGGGTTAGACCTCGTGTAAATAGCCGGCCCAGTGTGGTTTATGGATTGGTGGAGGTTGATGGGCAGGAATATTCCCTCCACTTCTCACTTCAAACGCATGTGATCATGCTTACATAGAATTAGGGCTGTACAAATGTTAATTATTATCAATTAGTCTCCATGCGGTCATCTCCGTCATCATAAAAAAAACTTTTGGCAGCCTCTGCGTTCCCTTCTGGCGCACCAACAACAGAAAGGGCAATTAACGAACCGCTGAGTTAAAAATGTACAAAAAATGGAAAAAAATTAATATTTCAGGGAGAAAACTACCAAATACAATAGAAATACAAACGAATTGAGCAGCACCGCGGTATATCAATGTTAACCAGTTAGTTGTTGTTCGGTGTTAACGTCTTAGTAACGGAGTGTGGGGGAATATTGGCTTAAAGTCGTGGTAAAAAAACGACCGAGGGCCTATACTCCCCTGTACGGCTCGAGCAAGCAAGGCTAGCTAGTAATTTGTTATATGGCACTTGGACCAAACTTGCTACTTTTGAATTTGCTGGCATTCGCGAACAGAAGCACACGGCTCACGACCGTTTGCGTGGCAACGGTCCGTATGGCAAAATAACAACTAAGTAAGAGCCAATCAGAACGCTAGGATTTACCTCAGGAACACCTTGCCGTGTGATAGATTGAGATACTTATTTCGCGTGAATTAATAAGTTTCTGACAAGTTTTCAACTAATGTGATTGTAGGTGTGAATTCTGTTTTCGTGCCAGAAAGCGAGATCTGCTACATCCCTCAGGTATGCAAGGTGTGCCAGTCTACAAGAGGTGAATCACACATCGTGGGCTTACATGTGGTATCCTTCAGAACGTTTTCTGAAGAGGTAATGTAGTGTTTTTGTATCGCTCTTAACTCGTTTCTTAAACAACACCAAATAACACTTTGAGATAACCGTTTGATATGTTAACGTTGGTACTGAGAACCTAATGGAAGATCAAAGAAAATCAAATTTTTGGGATGAAGTTTTTAATTTGCGCCCAAATTGATCTCTACATGAAGTTAACAAATTTGACTTTGTCTTCAAAGTGATTGTGATGTTAGCCTTTGCTATTAGCCTACTAACACATGTTTGTTGTTCCAACCTTACTTGACAGGTCTGGCTATTTCCTAGTATCGTTTTTAATCGTCAACCATCGAGCCACCAGAACTGAAAAGACCTGGCTCAATCGCATCTCTGCAACTCGACTCTGCTTTGTCACAGAAACACGTCATGAATAAAATTATTTGATATAATGTGATTATGACTCGGCCATTCCATCACTCTTTTGCGTGGTTGCTTGTTGCATTCACTGACTTCTTTTGTTTTGGTTTTGTTTTTTCATTTCTTTTCTTTTGTTTTGTTTTGTTTTGTTTTGTTTTTGTTTTGTTTTGCTTCAGCTTCAAAAATGACTTGTTTATCACGATTATGTGGTTATTTGGTTGTTATTTACTCACTCTTCCCGCCTAGCTCTTTGTACACTTTCTTCCATAAACATGTCCAGTATTTTATTTCTCCTCACACTACCACTGGTGAATCACACATTGAAGTCACGGGAATATAGGAAATGATCACCAACTAAATGTAAAATGTATAGGGAACAGTATGAAGAATATGCATACTGATGTAAGGGTTACTTCTAAGGGTTAATTGTAACTGAGCCCTAAAGTACGTTCGATAGGGCGCGACTTTTTGATGAATTAATTGCTTTTTTTGTAAGCAGTGCATGAACACATTTGCCATGTGGATGGCTTGGCTAATCCATCTCGAAATAGACTTAAACAGAAGGGATGCAATGCACAGTTTTGCTGTATATTAACAATATATATACTACGGTATATAAAAACATCATTACAAGGATATGACGGGTTTTTAATACATTGTGCTTTATTATTACGGAATTTATGATAATAATAGTAATAACGAATATTTATACAGGATAGCCCCTCAGTACACAAGTACTGTTATTAAATGCAACCTGTTTAAATGATAAAAATGTAAATAGAATAAAAACGAAAATAAGATAAAATATGACCTTGGCTAGCGCCAAGAAACTTCACCATTCAATGTAAAATTAATCAAGAGACTTCTTAAATAGTACCCTGCTGCTAATCTGCTTGGTTTTTAACCCTTTAACCCCTAAGAGAGACTAGCACCTAATTTTTCCTCACAATATCACCCCTAAATCACACATGAAGGTAATGAGAATAAAAGAAATGGTCACCAACTAATCTGCTTGGTTTTTAAAGGTAAAGAATTGAATGATGAAGTGCTCAAAAAATGAAAACTTTTGCGATAGGGGTATTCGTTAGGTACAATAAATGAAACGTCTAACTATCAAGAATATCAGGGTTACGAGTAGTCTTGTGTAATCCTCACTTTCTTCTTTCATTAACTGGTTCTCGGTTTTTTTTTTTTAATGGGTGGGGGGGGGGCGCTTTTAACAGTTTTCGCCTGTATACACATACTGGGGAGGGGTACATTACAGAATATCAGGTGGGTGACTGCCGCTGGAACTTGAAACACTGGCCTTTACAAGGCTACAATTGGGTCGGAGCATAGAGGTTACAATTTCATAACCTCTCGGTCTCTTTAAATTAGAATGTACCCAATTCGATACATGCTGTATGCTCTATCCTATACTCTACCCTTGACATACTTTCCGTTGAGGCTGTTCAGATATTCTTTGAGGAGATCACCAGCAGAGGAGCTCTAATGCGTATCAAATGCATGAGAATAAAGACAATTAATTTGATATCTTCTCGAAAAATTAGCGGAGCACAAGAAGAATTTGGAAATGGCTTTTTTACCATTTTGCCGTGTACTTACTGTTTAGGGATAGTGGCGAAATGAGGCACAATGTAAGAGTATCACTGCCGAACTGGGTGAGATTATAAAGACAAGCCAGAAGGGAATTGTGGACTAAGTCAATGGAGTCAAATACTCAGCAGTTTTTCCTACCTGTTGTGCCATCAACAGCTATAACGTTATATCCCCTGCCGTGGAGAGAAGTCCATTCCACTTACCTCGATGTAAGCGAAACCGCATGTGTTTTCAGTTCGGTTTGGATCTCGACAGCCCTCGCTTTTGATGTGAATATGAATGTTCACTGAGGGCCTTGAAAAGGTAGAACGCATAATCCTGGCTGAGTGGTATAGTTAGCACTGGGAACTAAAAACAAAAAAGCTTTCTTACATAGTAATCACGCTGGAATTCGGCAGAAAGACTGTGCAAATTCGAGAAGTTGTACCCAAGCATAGAATCGGGAGCACGGATTCCCTGTGTGTAAACGTTTTTCATCAAATCTCGATTATTTGAACTAATTACTTGAATAGCCACGATTCCTGGCCACGTTGTTTGACAGTGATCCAAAGTATGAATATGACTGATATCTATTTTTTGGCACACGAGTCAGTTTGTGATGCTGCGGCATTTGTGCTCAGGCTCGAATGTGAGCATGAAGTTTTTCCTTTTTCCCCCTCGTATGAGATTCGAGAACTTAAATTGGCCCAAATCTAAGATTTTTTTCCTCACAGTTTCACCCGTGAATCAAACATTAATTATCACCGACGAAAGAAGCTCTTGATTGTTCAACAAACTCTCCTTGTCAGCCCCTTAAGAGATATGTGGAGAACAGTATGAAGAATATGCATAGTGACAAGGGTTGCCTATGCGCTTAAAACGGACACGTTCTATTCAAGCATTTAAGTTGCAGACGGGTACAAAGACGCATCTCAAAGAACGACATTCGCTTTCACAGAAGCGAGATAATCAGTAGACTAGAAATGCAGGGATGGAGAGAATACTTTGATTGAAACAAAAATGACTAACATTTAACGTTTCCTTACTTCATTTTCCCTGAATGTGGGTCAATGAGGAGTTCATATACTGAAGTGACTCACACAGTTGTGTCAATACATGATCAGTGAGCTGGAGTCCTCCATGGTTCAAATGGGAGAGTTTACAACTCCTCTCTTTCAGCGACTCGCATAAAAGACCCAAAGCTTCTGGAGTGATCGAGGTGTTCACAGCAAGGTTCAATTTTTTTAGTTTGCAACTGTCCGCATTGATAGCTTCTAACAGTGCAATCAAGCCCTGATCAGTAATTTTGTTCTCGGTTATCACCAGTCCGACTGGACCTCCCTCTTTCAGCAGCTTTGTAAGTTCTTTACAACCGCCATCTCCTAAGGAATTGTAAGTCAGCTCAAGGTAGTAATTTAGCGGCTCAATGTGTTTCAAGAGGTAAACAATTGCTGTGCAATCGACAGGTGTGATGTTACATTTCCATAACGGAATCAATCCGTGGAAATCCCTGTTCTGCTTTAACATTGAAGCTACTCTCTTCATTGTAGCCTCGTCATTGTATTCGTACAGGCAGTTTATCATGAGTAAAGCTTTCCTTCTTGTCGTTCTGTTTGGTGTTTTTGAGACCAGCGAATCTTGGAGGCAAGACACAATGCCCTCGATGGCCTCCATTTTTTTACCATGGATCAATCCTACAATGAATTGAATGACAAGCTGCCACTTTGGATCGTCAGCGTTGGAAGTGATAAAGATCTTCAGTTCAGCTGGCTCCATCTTCGAAATTGTTCTTGCCGCGAGAAACTCTTGTAAGGTTAAATGGATGAAGCTGAAGCACTGTTTGAATTCCACCGGTGACAACCTTGCGTCAGGTAATTGGGTCAGCAAACCACAATTTGTCATTCCTGCGACTTCTTCTTTATCGAATATTAACCGTCCTTCCTCTATACCTCTACTTGCCAACGATCCAAGATCAGTCAAAGTCTTTTCAACCGAATCTGAAAAGCGTTCATTTCCTCGAAATGGTTTATCTCGAAATTCAGGATGATGTGAAAAGACAAACAATCTTAGGGCTCCAAGGTACACGTCCGTCAGTCTTGTGGGCAAAATGACGCTTCCTGCGTCAGGTGGAGATGGCTCGATTAACTCCTTCAGATAGTAACAAAATATGCGGCAATTCACAGGAATGTAACATAAAGACAACAAGTGTAAGTTACTTCTCAGATGTTCCCATATTCTGGCTGCAGTGTGGCCGTCTCCTTGACAGTATTTGTTCACATATTTGCGAGCCTTCTCTTCCGTAAATCCCATAATTTCCACAGTCCTCTCAAAATATGAGACCTCGACGCTTTCCAGTGCTGTTGGCCTACAGCTCGTCACTACTGTTACATCGGGAAGGAGTTTACCTTGCAGTAACTTTGCGAACAAGGCTGATACCGGCATTTCTTCGGTAGGAGAATTACCGAACCGTGCGGCTTCGTTTGCAGTACAACTGCTCTGGTCCTTAAATTCGTCTAAGCCATCAAATACAAGCAGGATTGTCTCGGGGTTGTCCAATAACTCTTGAAAAAGGCCATGGTCCACTGTTCCTTCCATATAAGCAGCGCGATTAAACAATTGCCAAAGGGAAATCTTCTCTGTTGTTTCAGCATAGAATGATCGAAATTGGAACAAAAAGGCGTACCTAAAACGCTCCGAAATGTTACGGAAAAGTTGCCCTTTGCTCCAGTCCCGAAGCAACTTTCGACAGAGCAGTGACTTCCCGATGCCAGGGCGACCAACGATAAGAATTTTGCGAGGGTTGTCGGCATCTTCGTTGGCTAGAAAAAGCTCTTTGCGCGTCTTGATCTCAACAGATCCTTTTTTACTTTCAGGCTTCAAGTAAAAGTCGTATATTAGATGCCTTTTGCATTCCCTAAGAAATTCGTCAGTAGCTCTTCCGGTGTAAATGATCAGATCGACGAATATTTTATCCAAAGAAACCCTCTCATTTGCGCTTTCCTTACCACAGTGGATAAGTGGTTCCAGAAATTCTGTCTCTTGTAATATTCTCCTTTTCATGCGTTGCCGAAAGCAAGCTGGTGTCAGAGCTGTCACGCTTTGGTGAAAGAAATAATTTGCACAAAATTCTGAGTCAGACGCGAATTTGCTTCTTCGAAATGCTCGCACTACAAGATAAACAATTTCCCCGAAGACCAGAAATGCAAATATGACATTAACCACAAGGACCAACTGTGCGCATGTGCCCTTTTCAGATGCAACGGAGTTGTGACAAAATATGGTAGGTTCGCTTTTTGCGGACGAAGCGCTTTCTGTGGCATTCAATGATTCCAGTCTCCGGAAGGAAATGCAAACGAATGCTACTTGGAAGCCGCCTGAATAAAACACGAAGTTTTGCAACACCGCGAAAATGATCCCCAACGACAGTCGTGCGACGAGATGAAGGAAGTAGAAGAAGAAAATACAACGAGTTTCGACTCTAGGCCGTGGACGAGGGTTTTCTGCGTCTGGTATCAACGCCGCCTGTAGCTTATCCACTCGAGATTTCACGAAACACCAACTGTAAACAAGGCATACCACAATCACCGTAGAAAAATTTAATAGGACAAAAACGTAAAGCGGCAGCGGAGTATTATAATGTTGTTCATACTTGTCAAAGCACTGCGCCTGAAGAAATAGTTTGTCAGCCGGTTGTGCGCCTCTGAAATCGCAAAGAAACGTTCTCCTTTCGTTCAGTCTCAACTTGCTTGTGATTCCTACAAATACAACTCCTGCGAAGAAATAGACGATTGCGACCATATAGCCGAATAAACTGAAGCGAGTTGGAGTCAAAAACTCTTTCAGTCCTTCCATTGGAGCGGTGAAGATTTGCTTGATAATCACTTCTAAGCCGAATTAGCTTAGGGACGTAGGAGTCAAAAGCACTTCTTTCGATTTATTCGTTGCAACAGCATCCGCCGGTGATTGTGTTGGCAAATAATTTCAAAAAAATGGGAATCATAAATAATTTTTCTAATCCTTCTAAAGCGACAATGGAATCGGCTACTGTAATGCTACGGATATGAATAACTCCTCAAACTCTTTCATTGCCACGACATCATGTGGAGTTAACCCGTGAGCAGCTGACAGAGAGCAGGAAAATAAAAACGCAGATCACGTTCCTAGTGGAGCAACCAGCTGCCTTTCGACTGCGTGGAATTATACAATAAATTTAGAGGGTACTTTTGAACTGATTGGGAACTGCATTGTCATTGATGGAATTTGACCGCTTTTTTTTAATCGTATTTTATGTTTCAACACTTTTTTCAACTGAGACACATTTTTTCGTTTCCTAGGTGATTTTTTTAAACATTTTTTATTGATGGATTTAAACGGAATTGATAATTTGCTGATAGAAAAGAACGCTCCGGGTAAAAGTTCGAAAAAAAGTTTAATACAGCGCAATCGATATCTTTCAAACAATTGTAAAAATGCAAATTTTATTCAATCCTGTCGAGTGATGTAAATTAAGATCGATAAGCGGTTGATGTTGTAATTACATTCAGTTATTGTGTTTCAATCCTGTCTAACTACACAAAAGGGGCAGTTTCGCGACATCAACATCCATTGAAAGATTTTCAAGATACATCCCAGAGGTTTGTGGCAGAAAAGTCCATAAAGAAAAAAAAGAAGACATGTGTTAAGTAACTTAGCGTGAGGTCGAGATGGCTGTATATTAGCCAAGTTCCCTTTTTTCTGCGATTTTTATGAAACGAATGGAATTCGAGGCCAATAAAAGCGTAAAGGAGAAAACGAGGCAAGTATCCAGCTATCTTGACCGAACAAGCTTTGTCAGTAACGGATTTATATCATGGTAAAAAGATTTGACTTCAAAAGCCCAACTGTGTTTGAAGCACAGTAAACCCAAGAGAATCGTTTACTTTTACTTTTTTTTGACTGCCTTCGGCCTTCTTCGGGCCCATCTTGCCCGCTCGGATAGCCAATCAGAAGACAGGATTCCCTTCATATTGCCCATGGGTACCTCAATGGGGTGATATTGTTAATAAGAAATCAGACGCTAGTCACTTTAAAGGGTTAATGCACTAAAAACCCTTTTAGCTCCTCTTTTCACCAAGGATATGAATGGGACAAATGAGTATAAATGGGTACAGGTGGGTTGTTAGGGAAGTCTGACGAAATGCCGGGTGATGCCCTCTGTTGGATTTTCATCTCCTCCTGGGAAAATGGCAATACTGTTAATTTTCATGGTAGGAAACCTGGAATAAGCTGCAACAGTGGGCCATTAGGCTTGTTAACAGAGTTAACCTTTAATTCGGAACTGTAATTAATTTTAGTTCGCTGATCTTGTCGTCTCGTCCCTGTAGGTCGCGTCGTTGTTAGACCCTTCCCACAAAAGATTCCGGAATTACTGCGGAGCTCTTTTAGGATGTTGGAAACAATTGATGACAAAAGTATCAATGTTATCGACAAGGGGGCTTGCGAAATTTTAAACCTGGGTTACCCGGTTGCAGATGCAAAAAACGATGACTTTTCAGGTAGTAAACAATAAGTTCACTTATTTAAGTAAAATTATTTCTGTGGGATTGTTAAATCGTAACCTTAAACCCCGTTAGGAAAAAACATTTAAGTGTGAAACAGCAAAAGTGTAGAGACTGTTGGCCCTTGATGTTATTTGTTTCTGATTTCGATCTCTGATTTGTCTTCGTTTTGTTTTGTTTCTGTTTATCTTCATAACGTGGGCGAAACACAGTGGGACGGTTATTTAAACAAAGTTTAGCCGTTATACAAAACCGCGCTCCAAACAATCCTAAATATAGCTGAATCTTTTTTCTGAGCATTTATTTTTATGAACAGTGTCGAGAGGACCGAAATTTAACAGTGGAAGGACATTTATTTAATAAAACAACCGTCTCATAGAGAGTACGTAAAACCGCGGTTTGGGTTAGACCTCGTGTAAATAGCCGGCCCAGTGTGGTTTATGGATTGGTGGAGGTTGATGGGCAGGAATATTCCCTCCACTTCTCACTTCAAACGCAGCCTGTGCGGTCTCTTCGGGCGCACCAACAACAGAAAGGGCAATTAATGAAACGCTGAGTTAAAAATGTACAAAGAATGGAAAAAAAATAATATTTTGGGGAGAAAACTACTAAATACAATAGAAATACAAACGAATTGAGCAGCACCGCGGTATATCAATGTTAATTAGCTAGTTGTTGTTCGGTATTAACGTCTTAATAACGGAGTGTGGGGGGAATATTGGCTTAAAGTCGTGGTAGTGCGGACCGAGCTTAGCGAGGTCCTAACAAATACGACCGAGGGCCTTATACTCCCCAGTACGGCTGGAGCAAGCAAGGCTAATCAGTGATATTTTATATGGCTCTTGGACCAAACTTGCTAATTTTGAATTTGCTGGCATTCGCGAACAGAAGCACACGGCTCACGACCGTTTTCGTGGCAACGGTCCGTATGGCAAAATTACAACTAAGTAAGAACCAATCAGAACGCTAGGATTTACCTCAGGAACACCTTGCCGTGTGATAGATTGAGATACTTATTTCGTGTAAAATTAATAAGTTTTCTGACAAGTTTTCAACTAATGTGATTGTGAATGTGAATGTGAATTCTGTTTTCGTGCCAGAAAGCGAGATCTGCTACATCCCTCAGGTATGCAAGGTGTGCCAGTCTACAAGAGGTGAATCACACATCGTGGGCTTACAAGTGGTATCCTTCAGAACGTTTTCTGAAGAGGTAATGTAGTGTTTTTGTATTGCTCTTAATTCATTTCTTAAGCAACACCAAACAATATTTAGAGGTTAGGTTGTAAGGGTTAATTGTAAGCCCCAAGGTATGTTCTAGAGGGTGCGACTTTTTGATGAATCAATTACATTTTTACAAGCAGTGCATGTACACATTTGCTTTGTGGGTGGCTCGGCTAATCCGTCTCGAAAAAGACTTAAACAGAAGGGATGCAATGCACAGTTTTGCTGTATATTAACGACATTGATACTACGGTATATAAAAACATCATCACAAGGATATGACGGGTTTTTAATACATTTTACTTTATTATAACGGAGCTTATTGCCCCCGCAGGGTTTTTGGCCCCAGAGGGCCAAAAAACCCGAGGAGGCACCTTAGGACTCCCCGTGTAATATAGAGGAAGACTGGAGAAGAGAGAATGTGGGTATTTTCGGTAGATCATAACCAGAAAAAATCTCGATTTGATCGCTTGCACGGCCGCAAGGTATCAACGTTTTTCCCGCAAATGGTCATGGGCTGCCAGTAAAAAGACACGCGCGCGAGGACTTTTAGGATCGGCGTCTTTGACACGAGATTTGTCCCAGTATAGAGGAAGACTGGAGAAGAGAGAATGTCCTCTTAAGGTATAATTTTGTGTCTAATACCTATATAATAATAAATTGTTCTTCAATGCTGTCTATAAATTGTTCTCCAATGCCACCTATAACATTCCAATGTTAAAACTCACCCAAGTCCCTACATTCTGCTTCTTCTTGATCGTGAAGAACAAACAAATCCTAAGTTAAACCACACAGCAAAAAAAAAAAAAACCCCAAGCACTTCCCAAAACTACATTTTGTACACTTGTAGTATTTTGAGATCCAAAATTACCAACACCAAAGTACTGAGCCGCAATTCCGTAACAGCATAACAGAAAAATTACACAACTGTAAACAACAAGCCCAACTCAAAAAAAAAAAAAAGAAAATGGTACTGTAGGGCGGGGGCAGCTCTAGTGAGAACTATAACTAGTGATAATAGTAATAACGAATATTTATACAGGATAGCCCCTCATTACATAAGAACTGTTATCAAAGGGAACCTGTTTAAATGATAAAAATGTAAATAGATTGAAAACGGAAATAAGATAAAATATGACCTTGGCTAACGCTAACCTGAAGAAACTACGCTATACAATGTAAAATTTATCAAGAGACTTCACAAATAATACCCAGCTGCTAATCTGCTTGGTTTGTAACTTTTCAACCCCTAAGAGCGACTAGCATCTAATTTCTCCTCACAATATCACCCCCAAATCACACATAACACATACTAACAAGGATATTACAAGTTTTTAACACTTTTTACTTTATTATAACGTAGTTTTTGATAATAGTGATAACGAATATTTATACAGGATAGCCCCTCAGTACACAAGTACTGTTATTAAATGCAACCTGTTTAAACGATAAAAATGTAAATAGAATAAAAACGAAAATGAGATAAAATATGTCCTTGGCTTACGCCAACCTACAGGAAATACGCTATACAATGTAAAATTCAGCAAGAGACTTCCAAAATGATACCCTGCAGCTAATCTTCTTGGTTTTTAAAGGTAAAGAATTGAATGATGAAGTGCTCAAAAAATGAAAACTTTTGAGAGCATAGTGAAGTTTCACTTACGGGAGAACAACGATGACCCCATTATTCCTCGTATTAAAATCGTGTGCTAAAAAATTGAAATAATTCTTAAGGGGACAACCGACATTGCCTTAAAGGTAATCAAACACAAATAAACAAGCCTTTTTCTTCAAAATATTATCAACCGCGGTAGATTAGTCTCTGTAAATTCGTTACTCCAGGTTTCTGATTTGACACTGGCGTGTCTCTGACCAAGCAAACGTGTTTTGGCGTTAATCATTTGTAAAAGAGGCTTTATCATTGTTGTGTATATTCGTCCAGCGCTCTAGGTGTTAATGTTTGAACGGACTCACCGTTATCAGTTTATCCTCCCCACTGCTTTTTTGTACGCTTTTATGAAAGTATTTTATCAGCTAATGGTGTATTTACTAAATTAAATTGTTGCAATTTGTTTCATTTTAAGATGCATCATGGTTAACTTTGAAAGATATCTTTTCATGTTATCTCGTTGTGACTACCCGTGATTGCCTCCTCCTTTTGCTATTTTCATGTTGTCACACAGGTAACTCTGAGAAATAAATCATTGCCCATTGCACAAAACAATAAAAAAAACCAACAACGCAACAAATAAAGAAAAACAAACCAATAATATATTCAGGAAAAAAGGTGATAGCTGGATGGGGCTGAGGTACTGGGTTGGTTAATTGAATCTTCAGAGATATCTCACTTGGTCCCAGACCTCTCTTGGCAATTTTCTGTTCAACCCACGATGGTTTGTTTACTCCTGCGTATCCAACTAGCGCAAAGGATCCTTTATAGTCCGGTAATACAGGCTCGGTAGCGCCCAGTCTCTTGAGAGCGATAAGCGCTAATCTTACGTAATTTGAACCTTCATCTTGAAAAGCCACCAAAACGATCTTACTGCAAGGACGAAAGGGATATTCGTTAGGAATAATGAACGAAATGTCCAACTATCAAGAATATCAGGGTTAGGAGTAGTGTTATGTGTAATTCTCACTTTCTCCTTTCATTGTCTGGTGCACGTTTTTTTTTTTTCGAAAGGGGGAGGGGGGCTTTCGACAGTTTTCGCCTGTATACACACGTAAATGAGGTGGGTGCATGCCGCTGGAACTCTGAACACTGACCTTTACAAGGGAGCATAGAGGTTACAATATATAACCATTCAGTCTCTCTAAATTATAATATACAATTCAATACATGCTGTATCCTATACCCATCTACCCTTGACATACTTTCCGTTGAGGCTGTCGAGATATTCTTTAAGATGATCACCAGCAGAGGGGCTCCAATGCGTATCAAATGTTTTCCTTTCGAGAACTCCTCCTGCATGAGAATAAAAACAATTTCCTTGATGTCTTCTCGAACAATTAGCGGAGTACAAGAAGACTTTTAAAAAGACTGTTACACCATTTTGCCGTTTACTTACTGTTTTACTGGAGAAAAAGATATCGGGGAAACAATGGGTCATTTAATACTATCTCTGCCGAACTGGGTGAGATTACTGAAGACCAGCCATCAGGAAAATGACTCGGCACTTTCCTTCTTACCTGTTCTGCCATCAACAACTACAACGTTGCATCCCCTGCCGCGAGGAGAGAGGTCCATTCCATTCACCTCGATGTAAGCGAAACCACATGTGTTTTTAGTTCGTTTGGGGTCTTTACAGCTCTCGCTTTTGATGTGAATGTCCACTAAGTTCCCTGAAAGGGTAGAACGTGAAATCTTGGCTCAGGAGTACAGTTAGCACTGGGAACTAAAACCTAAAAACGTCATAATTAAGAAATCACGCTGGAATTGGGCACAGAGACTGTGAAAAGTCGAGACATTGTATCCAAGCACAGAATCAGGAGCTCAGGTTCCCCCGTATGTATACGTTTTTCACTAGTTCTTGATTATATAAACTAATTACTTGAATATCCACGATTTCTTACCACGTTCGTACTCTTGTCCAAGTTGTTTGACAGTGATCCAAAGTATGAATATGATATTTTTTGGGTACATAAGTCAGTTTTTTACTCGTTACCATACATTTTTGAAAATTGCAAAGGCTCCATCTGACACAATTATATACCACAGTGATTCTAAAGGTTCAACATGAGCTTGGCAATTGTTTAGAAGTACTTCATTGCGCGTCGTCCAGGGAGTCACAGTGAGAGGTTTTGAATTGAAAATATTTCTCTGTTTGGGTGCATCAGTCTCTTAACCCCTAAGAGTGACTAGCATCTGATGTCACTTTACAATGTCACCCCTGAATCAGACATTAGTTATCACCGACGAAAGAAGCTCTTGATTGTTCAACAAATTCTCCTTGTCAGCCCCCTTAGGAGATGTATGTAGAACAGTATTAAGAATATGCATACTAATGAGTGTTGATAATATGCACCTAGAACTGACACGTTTTCTTCAAGCATAAAAGTTGCAAACGGGTACAAAGACGCATCTCAAAGAATGAAATTCGCTTTTCACGGAAGAGAGACAAACAGTAGAACAAAAATGAAGGGAGGGAGAAAATATGTTGATTGAAATAAAAATGAAATGTAACATCACTGTTAACTTTTTACCCCTAAAAAAGACTAACGTTTAACTTGTCTTTATTTCATCTTCCCTGAATCAAATATTAAGGGGTGTAATTACCGTCAAAAATAAATGTTTAATTATGATATCGACAATTTCAGTTATGACATTGAGATATACAAATGTGCTATTCCAATGTGACGTTTTAATTTGCTATTTGGTCCTTGTGTTATGACATTATACTATCACATTTGACTATTTTGCTTTTGCAATGTGCTGGCTACTGCATGTTAAGGGAAATTTCATTTTCATCAATGTTAATCACACAATAGCCAGCTCAAAGTTCTGGGTTTGCAGATTATAGATTGCTGTGAAACTTGTAACGATTGAACTTTGATTGAATGATTTTGATTGAGATAGCATAATGTCATAACACAAGGACCAAATAGCATATTAGGACGTCACATTGGAATAGCACAATTGCATATCTCAATGTCATAACTGAAATTGTGGATACATAATGAAACATTTATTTTTGACGGTAATTACATCCCATAACCGGGCAGTGAGTAATTAAGTTTACCTTTCATCAAAGCAAGTATAACTTGAAGCTGAGCTCGATGCTTGGCTGACTCTAGACTTAGCCTTCTCGTGTCCTTCTGCAACTGGTTCAGTTCTTCATTGGTTGTGTCAAGGGACAAGTAACTTGCGATAGAATAAGCAACACCTCCAAGAGCAGGAGCGCATATTAAAAATACTCCCCCAGGACCGGCAACAAAGGGGGAACCAACACAAACGACCAGCGCAACAACACCGTAACCTATGACCTTGTTTTTGTCAAGTCGACTGCTGATGATACCATTTTTTACGTCATTAGTTACCTGCTCGAGCTCGGTGTAAAAATGACTCAGTATTTCCATTACTTTCGCGATTCGCTCGTACAATGTGGCAAAGTCGATGGTTTGTGGCATTGAGTAAATTTCTGTTTTTATAGTTTGTAGTACGACTTTCATTTTTGTCTGTAGCTCTTTGAACATATCTCGATGCTCCTTGTAGTCTTCAGCTAAGATCACAGCCTGTTTGTACAGTTGATTACTTAAGCATATTAAATACACAGACACAATAAAAAGACTTCCCTTTACAGACTTTGCAATTCCAGGTGGTATTTTGTCTTTCAGTTCTTGGAAGTTTTGGATGGCGAAGTCAGATAATTGTTGCCATTCTACTGAAGCCAGGCATTGGACAAGGTATTTGTTGAACTCGTTGTCTGATTGGGATGTCATTAAGGTACGTGCTAGCTGAAAACAGCTTTCTGGTAAACCGAGCTTACTCGTTGTAGGTGTCGTGGGAGATATAAACAGGATAAGGAAAAACAGAATTCGGAAGAAACGAAAGCGGAAGTACTTCCGGTTTTGCGAAGACATCCTTCGTGTAGATAGTCCCTCACAACGGTGACCGATGAAAATAATCTGGAATGATCGAGTACTTGAGTAGCAGATGTGATGGGATCTGTTTGGGAACTTTGCAGACAATCCGACGATTCAATTCACGGATACGTTTGTTGTAAAGCTTGTTTGGGCTCTCACAATATTTCACGCGTAGGTTGGTAGCGCTACGGTAAAACTAGAAACACACACAAGAAAACCAAATAAATCGCATTTTTTTTTTAAATAACAAGTTCAGAGTATGTCTAAGTACTTACAAGTTCTGTGAGGCTTCCTGACGAAAAAAAACCAAAAATATCGAGTTCTGAAAAGAGATTATAAAGTGTTGAAATATCTTAGTTCTGAACGACAACAGCCGAAGAAAAACAGGTGCTTATGCGATCACGTGACGACTAATTAAAATAAACTCGGCCCAGTGTCTCAAAACGGGATCAAAGAATATTCAATAACAGTAATAACCGCTTTCGAAAAATAGGAAAGACATGACTGTTGCTGATGGAAGTGGTTCTCTAATCGAAAGCTTATTTACGCAACTGTAAAACGGTGGAAGTCTAGAAAAAATCCCCATGTACTCCCTCCCAGACTCCCGTTCAAGTAGCTTCACGTGGAAAAGTGAAATAATATGTTCATACATAAATATGCTCTCTGGAAAAGCAGTAAACATAAGGGGCCCTCTGGTTGGAAATAAGAAAAGTAAAAAAAAGTTATTGCAAAACATAATCTTAAATACATGAAAATCATATATGTGAACTGCGGTTGAAGAAACGAATATGGAGGCGATCCTCGCAATTATGAACACTACTTAAGTAGTAGAGAATTAGGCGCGGAAAAAAATCATGTCCGTACGGAATTTGAACCCATAAAATTTGCGATTGCGGTGCAGCGCACTACCAACTGAGCTAACAAGCCAAATAGGAGCTGGTCATTATGTTGGTTCCAAATAAACTCTCGAAGTGGTGAATAAATGACTGTAAATAAATGAAAATCATATGTGAACTGCGATTGATGAAAAGAATATGGAAGCGATCCTCGCAGTTATGAACATTACTCAAGTAGTTGTGAGTAAGGCCTGAAGAAAACCAACATAATGACTAGCTCCTAGTAGGCTTGTTGGCTCAGTTGGGAGAGCGCTGCACCGGTATCGCAAAGGCCATGGGTTTAAATCCCGTACGTGCCTGAATTATTTTCAGGCCTTATTCACTACTACTTAAGTAGAGTTCATAACTGCGAGGGTCGCTTCCATATTGGTATCTTAAAATAGTTTCACAGTAGCGTCTCCGGCACGTAAATGAAAAATATCGAACTGTTTCGAGACATTCCCCTGAGGTGCTAACATGGACAGTTTTTATAACAATCATTTGCTTCTTTATTTGGTTATCATTTCCTTTATTCTCGTGACCTTCATGTTTGATTCAAGGGTGAAACCATAAGGAGAAATTAGATGCTAATCACTCTGAGGAGTTAAAGTGTCTAGAAATTATTGAGATTACGCAAGGATTTTGCAGAGAGAGTTTAACATTTGAAGATTCAAAGTTCTTTCATTCCTAGTCAGCCACTGCTTGATATTCCTGGAGTATCTGTGCATTGTGCTGAAACAGAAGCCATAGGCTAATGATAGTAACAAGAAACAATTCCGAAACCCCAAAGGTTGACATCTGTGCAAGAAAAGTATGATACTCTTCAATTTCCATGGCCACCATTTTCATGTCTCCGAGAGGCAATTCAAGCTTGCTCATGGTCAATAAGAGAGAAATAAAGCTGAGTCCAATTAATCCTTTACACCCTAAAATCACTATGCAATTTCTCCATACCAATCTCTATACATTTTTTATGGTGCTTGCAAGAAGAACTTGTCTAACAATCAAGGGCTTTTTAAGTTTCTGATCATATCCCTTATTCTCATGAACTTAAAGTTTGATTTAGGGGCGATACTGTTCGGAGAAATTAGATACTTATCGCTCTTAGGAGTTCAGAGGTTAATACACTTGCAGCACATGCAACACCAGCGGGGGCATTCCCAACCAGAGGAGCTCCTGCTCAGGCAGCTGTTATAACAAGAGCACTAGCAGTGGCCCCCCTATCTTTAACTTGCACTTCCACTTATATCTTTGTATACGGTTTGAGCAAGCTATACAAGGGCTGCATGGATGCGACTCAGCTTAGCAAGCAAGCGATCGGTTGTCTTCCTTTGAGTGGCACCATCTAATTGTGAGTGATTCCTAAGCGGTGTTACTTCCTTGTCTACAAAAATTCGTTACTTGCTTGAGGTGAAACTCTCGTTGATACTTGTGGTAGTTGAGATCCAAACTCATCGGCTGGTCAAATATATTAAAGGTCCTGTACAGCATGTAAACAGACAAAAACCTTAATTCTTTACCCTTTGCCATAAATATCGCATTTCACACCAGATTCGGTACGATTCCGCACCTTTTGGGAAATCATCTTTTGAACAGCTTTTTGATCGGTTTTGTCATGTTTTGCACAGGTCCTGTATGCAGGTGATGAAGTGTTTCACGAACTTCACATCGTGTGAATTGACGTTGCCTCCGTTCCAGTCCTTAATATATTTATATCGGTACCTATCTGATATAACCCCTCCCCTCTCCCTTTTGACCGTTGCCCACCCCCTTGGTACAAATTTCGTTCTCTCCCCATCCTTTCGCTGTTGTGAAAATCAAAGGGGTAGCTACAATTTTCACTGAGATGATACTGAGCACTCGCCCGCTTAAAATACGACTGCTCTACAAGCTACTCCCACCAATGCATGGAAATAACTTTTTTGTAACTTAAGCGAAAGCCTCGCTTTATATTGTTGATTTACTTCAGCTATTCAGAGGGTCCAAATTCATAGCACAACAGAACAAATCGTCCGCAAACAACGTTGGTCTTTAATTAAACTGTACATCACATGCATTAAGCTCTTTAAAATCCCATTTTATATGTGCTGATTAATAATTTTAATATCATACCGCGGTTCTGTTCATGTTGAAAAAGCAAGCCGACATATTATATTCTTCCTACAGTTTATAAATATTCTCATATATATGCTATTTTCCAGAAAACTAAAACGCATAACTGACTTGTTTACCTTTCGGTTTTGAGAACTTGTCCTCCGCAAGTAAGAGATACATATATGTATAAAACAAGAGCTCAGAAATAAATACGATTACTTAAATCTTGGCATTAAAATTTAGCTACAGCGTGTTTGAATCTCCTCTAAAGTGACATTATTTATGAAATAAAACCAAACCGTTTTGTAATTCACATTTTTTTTGTTATTTTGGGTAATGTACTATTTTAAGATTTACTTTGCGTTACTTTCGTCACGCAATAACGAAACTTTAAACAATTTTCTATTCGGGCAAGTCACACATGTTTCTATTACCTGGTGACTTCTGTTAAAAATCAAAAAGCGAGGGAAATAAACGTCATTTTGCGGCATAAAAAATTAACAATCTAAATTACATAGTTATAAAGTAACCCACCCAAAGATTTATTTAAATTTGGTCAGGAGTAAAAAACAATTACAAACGGATTTTACTCTTCAACCCTATCAATCCAAGATCAAAAATCATCATTCTCCCCAGCAAGTGCCAAATATTTCCTTAAATTTCAGTTTAGAGAAGATAATATTGGATCAAGTCAAAATCATTCAACTCATGATTTCCTGATATTGATATGTTTTGCTAGAATGTTTCATGAGTGTCAGGAAAAGTTGTATATTTAATCAACTTTGGCAGTGAAAGGGTAAGGTTGGAAAATATGTTTGGCCCTTTTACCTCAGAGATCTAAAACAAACTCTCCGCAAACAGTGTCTGGCCTACTTCTCCTAACATTCTAATGTGGAAATTTGGTGATAATTGAAATAGTATTTATTATCTTTCTACTTATCACCCTTCTGCTTGAAAATCTATTTAAACTCTAAAGGGAAAATTCCGTTTTGATCTCTTCTGCTGGTGGAAGGGTTTAGAATTTTACGTTTCGTTCGAGGGGGGAAGTTTGCTTGAAATTAAGTTTTCAGTAATGCCGATATGTCCCCTCGTGCTACTGCTACCCTATTAATGAGGTAGCCTATTTCCGCTTCGGATTAACTACCTATTTACCGAAGAGTTCTGTATCTTGCGTTGCCTACTGCATAAATAGAAAAAGTAAACTGACCTCGTATTTGAATAAAAGTCACGCGAAAGAAAGATGAGTTAAAGCGAGACTTACTGTAACTATGATGTACACTTTTCAGCATTTTGCAGTGTTCATGCGACTTGAACAAGGACCGCACATAACTGAATCAATTTTGAACCACAAGGCAATATATCTAAACATGAGTGGACGTTGTAGCGAGCTTTCCTCCTCAATTCCCAATCAATGAAAATCCGAGCATCCTTTTGGAATCTTTCTTTTCCACTGTACTTCAACAAAGAGTTACCAGCTCTCGAGTACTTTGCATTGATTGCCTTAAAGAGTGTAATCTTTGCAGGAGTATGCTTTTATCCAGTCTTAACGCTACGACAGTTAGTCTCCTTTGTCGTAGGGACAGCTCTGATCTGGAAAGCTGCCCCTGTTAAATAAATAAATAAGATTCCACTTATAGAATGGAGGAAAACGCAGTGTAAATGCTAAATTTAAGATGGTTTACCTAATTTTCTATCACTCACGTGTAGCGAAGACCCACCCTGACCATATTTGGAATACATTCTATTTAATGATACGGATAAGGTGGAGGGTTCCCCGGGAAACCAGAATGAAACGTTGTGGATATCGTCAGCGGTTTGCTGAAATCACCTCTTCCCAGTCCATAGTCGGGTCGCTCTGCTCTCAAACTCTCTGGATAGCCATTTAACGCGGAATGCACATGCGCAGTGAGATGCGCAGGAGTGTGATGAATTGTATGCTCGTTGGGATGTCCCATGTAACCCGGATGCAAGAGCGGCCGAGATGGATGACTTGGATGCGAGAGAGCACTAGTTGTGGACAGCGATGTTAGAGAGTTCATTGGAAGGCTGTGTACGTATGGATGTGGAGCCAGGTTCAGTGTTGAGGATGGTGGTGTTGATGCAGCAGGCCTCTCGGAACAGAATGACTGCTGCCGACAGCTGCTCTGAAGCGAGGCAAAAGCGCACGACGAGTCAAATGATTCCGACGGACGACGAGGGAACATGACATGGCCGAATGCGCTTCCTGTTAAAGGGAAGAAATAACAGATGGTGATCAGTTGTAATTTAGTAACGCTGCGGTCCAGTTGCTAATCCTTGGCCCGGGATCGGACCATTAGGGATTGTTTGGTGAACCAAGCTGACCTGTGTTTAATTCATGATTACATCAAATTCAAAGGGAATGTTCAGTCCAAGATATTCAGATGCAATAAATTTAATACTTTGCCTTCCTCAAAGTTCTGGGTTTGCAGATTATAGATTGCTGTGAAACTTGTAACGATTGAACTTTGATTGAAACCTAGACTAAATTAAGTCCTAATCTTGTTTCCTAGTACTTTTATTTTCTGCAAAACGAACCACTGACACGAACATAGGAGAATTAAGGGGAATTGTAAGCCCAAACACCCCATTAAAAAAAAACCAGCGTTTTCCACTGTTTACACGATTTTATATTTTATGGAAGGGAATGTGCACATTCTGGTTCGTGTTCAGCCCACTTTCACAAATGCAGTACAACCTTGGATAGCAGATAAATTCCACCGAAAAAAAAAAGGTTCTCAGAAAAAAAACACTTGTAGAACTGGTTAAAACTAGAACAGTATGAACGAGATATAAGAGAGACAATTTTGCCGCCAGACCAAAACTACAGCCACCCTTTAGCGCTTTTCTTCGTTTTTGCTTTCAACGCCTCCGGTATTAGTTTAATTGGCTCTTGCTTCTTTTGAAATACACACGATAGCGATGACAACCGTAAGAGGAACGGAGCAGACATCACGAGTCCATCAGGCGCCCGCTCAAATCTAGTCTACCTAACCTCAGGGGTCCTCTAATTTCATTAGTTATCGGCTAATCTTGTTTAGGATAAAAGGCGTGACATGTAGCAAGATCATCAAATTAGAGGGTAACTAAAGTTATGGAATTAATGAGACGTAGTCAATTAGATTTTTCCCGGGCAATTAACGTTTTTAGAGAATGTCAACTCTTCAGTGCTTCGGGTCAGAGAAGGAGTGTAATATGTTTTAAGCACCGTTTGATCCAAGGATACTTCGTAAGTCAGTTTGATGCGGTACGCAAGAGTCAAGTTGACCCATTTCCGTGGAATGATCATTTGGTTTTACAGTTATTTGGTAATAAGGAAGTGCAGTATGTCGGTGTTCCTTTTTGTTATAGTGTTTTATTTACTACAACCATTTTTTGCGGCAAGTATCGTGAAATCTGCCTGGAATATAACTGGACCATGACAATCATGTGAACCGCGAGTTGCGGCGCGCAAAACACAGATAGATGCTCAGGAAACAACACTCCATGAGAAAATGAATTAAAATCAGTGATCAGGTTTGATTTCCGACAAGCTCACCGAAGTTAATTTCATCTTTTGACTTCCGTGTTTAAAAGCCTTTCATTTAATTTCGCTATTAGTGATCTGCCATAAATAGTCGGCATGTATCTTCCTTTACCTTGAAGCCGCGCACAAAGCTCTATGTAGCGTTTCCTTCTTCAAAGATATTTTTTTCCTATTCAACGAGTCAAGTTCACAAGGAAACTGAAAACCATGATTTCATATCTTCCGAGTAAAACTTAAAATTTCTATCAGTCACACCCAAGATGAGTTCCTGTAAAAATTGCTCTTTAAAAGGTTGGAAGTGAGTGTGCACAGGGCACCCAAGTCTTCAGCCGCGTGTATAGTGACGGCCATCAAGATTTCCGTTGTGTTGAACTGCAAGTCTCGAGAAGTACTTATTTTAAACGTGATAATGTTGAACGGTTTTTTAATAAGGAACTACACATGTATCTCCAATTCCAAATAGCTGTGCTCGTGACCCGAAAGATAGGAGCGACCAGATGTGGTTGCTTTAAAAGAGCGTTGTCCTTATACTCCACTCTGCTGCATATTCCGGCTTAAATATATATTGTATCGACCAAATATTAGTGTCTGAACATATCCGGATTCTGGCCTGCTGCGCTTCCAAACAGGATTACTGTACGCGCAAACTTCCGTAGAAATAACAAGTCATTAGGAAATGATTAAAGTAACATTTTCACGCAGGTGACCTCTAGAGGAACTGCGGGATTTTAATGGCTCGCAGGTTCAAATTTCATGTATCATTGGCAATACCAAATGCGCGCGTTTCTGTAAAAACGGTCTATGAGAAAGTTGTACATAGAAATTAAAAATTTTGCCTCATGAAAAGAATACGGGGGCAAAAATTGATGTGTTAGACGTGTTTTCTGACCTGTATGCCCCATCAACGGTGGAGAAGGGTCGTTGATATCAGGGAATTTTGGCGGAGAGTCCTGGAAGGTTCGTTTGCATGATTCGCCACTCGACGAAGACCCCGCAGGAGAGAGGGAGAGACCATCAGCATCGTTACAGTCGTCAGGGGACTTTCTGAAATTAAACAATGGAGAAAAACCATCTCAATAAAGAAAGATTCTATGCAATAGTTAAGGCTAGAAATAAGTGAAATATTTATACATTCAGATTTGTAGTTTACACGATTCGAGGAAAATGACAATGGAAGAACTGTTCACCTCAACGACAGTAATAGATCTCAGATAACCCGAAATTCTAAAATTCTGAATTTTTTTTCTGAATTCTGATCAGATGTTGAAATGAGAAAAAACTGCGCTGTATCTATACCTGGCATCACGGCGTAAGGTCTAAAAGTAGTTCATTTTATATCATTATAAATTTTTTTTGGAGGAGGTACTTTACTGTCTGCCTCTGTGGTAATTGCATTTTGCCTGAAAGGCTGAACTCCTCACGCAAATGGTAAAAAATATATGCATATGTTAAAAATAGTTTGAAGAATTCTGAAACGGACTTCGAAATAAGGGTTCCGGAAAAGTATGGCGCTGAGCGTTTAAAAGTCTGATAAGTACTCGTGTCTCATGTTGTGATGACGTATTAAGCTGCAAACTAGATTATTTCGAAATGATGGAATAAGTACCGTGCGATAAAACTCCGAAGTCAAGAGGCTATAATTAAACACTTTAAGCGCTCTTAAGTGCGAATTTAATTTGTTGGCGGCTGTATGACTCTGGGTTCGTTCCGTTTTCGGAAAGTTCAATTGCCCCAAGTAAAGGAGTGACGGCACCTGAAGATGGATACAACAACCTGCAAAAAGCTTGGCCAGTGTAAAACGTTGGAAACACTAACCAACCACGGTGGGACACAAAATTTCTGCATTGCGAGGTGAACAACCCGAGAAAGCGCAATCAAAAGCTTTGCAAAACATGTAAAGCAGGTCTTTGAATCCATCCTATTTCCTCTGTTTAGTCCAGCGAAATTTTCCCCCTTCTCGTGAGGTTCCTCTCATTTCTAGTCTTCGTGCCCAGTTTTTCTCCTCCCTTAACTTCATTTCTCCATTGCCGGTTTTGATTAAACTTTTTACTTATACAATCTAGAAAGCGCTTCCTGTAAATGCTACATAGCAAAATACCGGCAAGGTTAAAAAAGAATGTCGGTAATGCATACCCTGCCAAATGCTAAGAAATTCAAGATAATATTTAGCTAGCTTTTTTTTTTGTTTTGTTTTTTTTACCGACTACGCTTCCGACGCAGTTTTTTGACCTTGTATTATCTGATTTAACCGGGTATTAACGACCCCAGTACGAGTCCTTCCTCTCTTGCATAACTCGTGATAACGACTTGAAACTTGACGAAGCCGAGACACCTTAAGGAAAACCGCAGACAAGCCGTAGTAGTTTTGATCTGATCAAAGCGACTTCAAAGTTGTAACTGGTTTATCTTTAAACCTAGGAATCTCTGATTTCGAAATGATTGAAACAAACAAAATGATGCTAAACATGAATATCTGGGGAATGTCCTGTTTTTATCCCTCACTACAGATCACTACATGAGTGGAGTTTATGTAACAACTTCTTATCAAAATAAATGTGACAAATCGATGAAACAGTAGTAACATAAATCCACCGCCCTTCGCCCACGTACCTTTTCATGGCGATATGATGCATGGTACTATTGCAACTTCCTCGAAAACCCTTCGCAAACGGGTTATTTTCTATCTTCAGCTGGGTGATCTGCAGAAGATATAAATACAAATCGTGTTAGCTAAGGTTTTATGCCGTTTCCTTCTCTCTGTCGGTGACTTAAGCCTGCTACGTGCTCTCCTAGTCACCGCATCAAACGAGAAGTAAAGGTATGCGCGGATGTTTCTAATTAAGATGCGGGGAAATTGCTTAATGCAGGTCGTTAATCTAGAATTAAAAAGCTAACTCTTAATGCCCAGAAGATAATTTCAAAAGGCGAGGGACACGGAAATTTCTGGCCCTTAAAATATGTTTAAAGAGATTTGTTAAAATATTTCCTCGTGAGAAGTGACCGTAATTCGACTCTCGAGCTTAACCTCATTCTCTAAAATAAGTTTAGACGATCTTGTCAGATATCGCGTATCTTCAAAAAATTTCAATGTGGAATTTTCTCAATGAAAGTACTAGATCTATTGTTTTTCTTCTAAACTTCTTTCGGCGAATTTCTAGACATGAAAAGTCCCTAATTGACTGGTGTGCGGTTTCCGTAAATATAGATTTAGTTGGACGGAGAATCCCCTTTGTCGTCTAACTCCGCTATAATTCATTAATCGATTAGAGGGGAAAATAACCCGTTTGCAGTTTTAAATATGAAAAATGAAACATTCCGATGACACGTTTTTGTTTATCGCCGGAATAAGTAAATGACGACGCCAAACAGCGAACTTGTAACTTCAGCTTAGAGTTGTACGTGAATGCACCTCATATACTCGGGAAGTACATGCGGAAACCTGTTAATGCGATGATTTAAGCGGTCAACCAATCCGTAGCCTATCTTTGTACGGCGATGCTCGCAAACTGCACGAAGCCATCGATAGACAATTGCTAGCATCGAGAAAGCCATATTTCCTTCAATAGCGAGTACCGTCTACGTACTGCTGAAGTGTTCAAAGAGTAAACAATCCACTTTGAGCGGTTGAAATATATCTTTGGCAGATCTGACAATACTGAAGTAGGATTTGAAAAAATGAAATAGTTTTTCCGGCTGTCACTTGGTGAGAATTAACCTATAATTTTGTCAAACCCTAACCATTAAATTTCATCGACAAGAGGGTGTTTCAGTTAATCAGAACCACGTTTTTTTGTTTTCATAACGTGAGAGACTGCCGGCATAATTTATCAAGTTAAGTTGACTGTGTTAAGATAGCCATACGTGATCTCGAAAACGTAAGTAACCTGGTTCTTTTCAGTAGTACAAACAAAGGGAAGATTTTTCCCCAAACGTGATGAAGACCTCTGATGGTCATAATAGAAGGAATTGCTTTTTGGAACAATCTTCGGGTTCATACGGAAATGAATAACCAGTAGGTTGGTATAATGTAAAATCACCTATGTTGAAAACACAAACGAATTTAATAAGAAAAAAATAAAAGGCAAGGGTAAAGGCGCAATGTAATTTCTAACCATCTTAGCTACCATGATGTTTGATCCATTTCATTATCCTTTTGAGTGATTACAAATAGATATACAGCTGCTTTGAAATTTCCAGTCTTAGTACTTCAATGATCATTTACTCGCAAATATACAAAATGATTTTTTACAACATGCTTCTTTATTTGATGTTATATTCGGCCCATTAGAATCTTTTTTAAAATTCTATTGCAAATTCACAACAGAAAGTTTGCACACTATCAGTTATAGCTTCTGTAGCTGTTCGAGCAGGGATACTCGCTGTGACACCCACGGCATGTAGTATAAGTTCAGGCTGATGAATTTTAGGCTTTTTTGCTTGTCCCCTGTACAAAGACCTTAGCTTTTGAATATGTTTCAAAATGGTGCTAATGGGACAGGTTTTTAGTGTCCAGTTATTGAAGGCTTATACTCTGTAGCAAGGTTAAATCCATATCTTTTTTACGGGATAATGAAGGTCCATCAAAAGATAAATAAATTTTCAAGCATGCTATCAACTCAGTCATTGGGTTCTGAAACTAGGTCAGTTATTGTGCAAAGCTAGAAATTTCATTGTACAAAAGAGACACTTTTCCTTAACAGCTTGTCACCCCTAATCGTCTTTTTTATTACCTCAATGAGGTATTTGTATTCAGCTGTTAGCCATTAACAACTCGAACTCACCCTTGGATTTTGATAGGCAGTCACTCCCATGAATTGAGTCTCTGGAAACACGAAGGTGTAAAAAGATCCCTTCCTCAAGCCATACGGACTGTAGTCCTTCGCTGGAATAACATGAACACGTGGCTGATACTTATGCATCGAGTTCAGAATAACCTAGAGTGTGTAAAACAAGCATAAACCGTTTTTAGTTTCTCTTTCGGGAAGGCGAAGGCTCTCTGCTAAGATTTTATATGAGTACAAAGACCTGAGGACATAGTTGATGTTCAAAGCCATCATTGTGAATGATGTTTTTCCAGCTGGAATAATTAAAGTGATAATGATGAGACGAAAAACAGAAAATGTACTGCGAGAGTTATTTCCTTAAAGAAACGTTTGTTTTACGTTTGATTTGATGATTAAAGTGAATGAACTTCAGAAGCCCATTAATTGTGGTTACAGGATGATTCAATGTGTATTTACACTTCAAAACATTGAATTTATGTCCAATTGTTTTAAGCTAGGTCACATAAAGCACTGGCCAACGAATCTGGAAGGGGAGCGAAAGAAATAGTTTGGTAAGCTGCTTTGTTTCACAGCAGAAAAAAGTTGGCGACAAAGGAGTTACTTAATAAAACTATTTTCATAAAATTATTTTTCTTTGGATTAAAGGCATGTTCTCTCCCGATTATTTAACCTTCTCCCTATATCATTAAAGTTTACACAGCTCAGTAACAGAATCTTGACAATGACAAAATACTTCGGCTATAGTGTGAGGGCTAACGAAGGTGGACATTTATATCGAACAGATTGTAAAGGCTTCAGTTTTTGTCAGAGTAAGAGAAATCAATTTTAAGGACGAACATGAAGAAATGAGAACTCAACGCAGCATGATCTTAAGAAATTTATCCCTTTTACATCAAACCAAAACTGGGCTCCACGACTATTCCCCTTACAACAGGATGGAAAAGATTTGGAGTTTAGCTGTGATTTATCACAATTAAACACTGTGTTTGTCATTAGTTAGAAGTTTTAAAAACTGCTGATAGTCTTATCTCGCGAGCCAATCAAAGTTTGACCCCATCTCTTATCCATTGTGATTCATAAGTGTTGATTTTCATTTCGAAGTTAAAAGCTTTCACAATCACTTAGGAGGGGCGGGGAGAATTGACGACCAAATCACTTGTTAATCATCCTCGTGGCTGGTGCTGTTGTTAACTTGTTTACATCGCTTTTCAGATAAGAAACACAAAACGCGAACATCGTTTCGTAATCGTACTATAGACAAGTTTATTTTCTCTTTGTTTTCAAACCTCCTGAAACTTGCGATTCAGCGTGTACATCACAAAAAGGCCATTAATGAAATCCCTATTATACTAGCAGAGTTTTTTAGCCGTTGTTTGTGACCAGAAACCTATTTTCTAAAGCTTTTTGGTTTGTTAACAAAGGCAATTAAGTCTTTTGTTTCTATGCTACGCCATTCAATAGACGTCGCGAGAATAGAAATGTGGAAACAAATGTTTCATTTGTCACAGCAAGAAACAGCTCATATTGTCCCTGTGTTCGGATAGAAATACCTTGCAGTATTTTAAAATACGTTGTCGTTAACTATTGAATCCGTGTAAATCAAATATTCTCGTCGAAACACCTCCATTATTTAAGTTACAATAAAAAAAACAGTTTTATGCTTCCAGAAATCTGGTGTTTTCTATTCCCTCGTTTTGAGAGGGAAATAAGGCAAATTCCACGCCCGTTCAACGCATTTCGTCCAAAACCGCCTTTCCAAAGTTGTCAAGGTTTGAGTTTAGGCGATTCTCTGGAAATTTCAATTCAGATGAAATATCGGTATCTTTGTCACCTTTCAACAAAGCAGTTCAGAATACTGATGTAAGACCAACAAAACCAAAATCCTACCCTTTTCAAAACTGATTGAAGGTTTCACGGTTGTTCTAAAGGCTTACCGAAGTAGATTTCGAATTGAAGAGTGTTGAAGAAAGGTGCAATTACTAAACATTTGAGGAGGCTCATCCTAATCTAAAAACGTCTAGTGATTAAAAACGAAATATTGTTCTGGTGGCAAGGCCTTGTGAATTCTATAAAAATGAACGCGCGTTATATCCAGATAAGGAAAACAAAATGTACTTATAAAGATGCTGCGGCTGTATTTTCTTTTCTTATATTGCTTTCCTTATTAACGGCCTAATAATTTCTACTTTGTTCCAAACGACACTAACAGATAAGCTCAAGAGCAAAGAATAGAGATTGCTGATTTTCTTTCTTTGAACATAGATCTGTTGTTAGATGTCAGTTTACAGTCGCTTGAATAATAGGAAAGTATTCCTGAGCAATTTAAGTCTTGAAAATTCATGAGCCAAGTCTTAGGTTTTGAAAACTTTAAGGAGCCCGTCACCCACAAAATTTAATGAACAATGATGTGATGAAAGTTTGCGCGTGGACGAAAGAAGAAGTGGTTGGCTTGTGAAAGCTTACGGCGTTGCATTCTATTTGAGAATTGAGTCTCAGTTTTTCGACTATTCCGTAAATGTTAGAAATTTCCAGAAATAAGTTTTAGTTTATGATTTCATAGTAACCTTTCCGTTTCGCACTGAATCATTTTTATGAACAATGATGGAGGGAAGCTAACAGCGGGAGATAGAAAAGAGATAAAATGGCTTTTGAGTAATAGATAACTTACGTGTCCCATTTGATCCATGTGATTGTTGGTCAATTTCATCTTCTGAAAGGAAACCACTTGTCGCATCCACTGTGACCCGGTTCCCGGCGAGTCGGGGTGAACGAAGATTCTGGTCGGTATGAGAGGTTCAGCCTTACCGGTGACTGACCATTCAGAGTTGTGAAACTTGTACCTGTTGTCATCTGCTGGAATGCTGTCCAACACCAAGACGTACTCCTCCTTTGGATTTAAGCCGCTTATGTTCACTCTGATCACAGGAAACATACGTCTGTAGGAAGAAAACGCAAGGTTTTTTTTTTACTGGCAGTCTTCCCACAGGAAGAATACATTTAATTTTCATCTCTCATGAACGAATCCTTTTGGACAATTTCTGTACCACTAACTCGTGAAGGTTTTGACAGACGTATCGCCACATACAAGGCGGGACATATGTAGTTATTATCCCACTAGGCCTCATACACGTAGAGCAGGTTTGAAAATCAGTTCGGATCGCGTGAAATGGAACGTTTTGGAAGAGATTACACCGACTACTTACTTGCCTGTAATAATAAGCGTTTTGCTGTATTTTCACGCACAATTTATTGAGCTATATGAGTTTCTTTACATATGACATGCCGGGCGTGAATCGAAACTAATATTTTCATAAACTGTCAAGTATCTTCGAAAAGGGTTCCACAATGCTGCGAGAAGGCAGCGGCGCTAATAGAAATGGTATGGAAATAAACACTTTGTTAGAACGTTTTGGAGGGTTTGACAGCTACGTAAATCGAGTGCAGTTTAAATGATGACTGTTGAAACATGAACTCTTATCGCATATGTATTTTACGACAGCGCTGTCAAAGTCTACAAGTATAATTATTTGTTTGCTTCGACCTCCCATTACACTTCCACAAAATGGGGGTGTTTAGCATGGCAAAAACCAGTTTCAGATTCGACGGACAGGGGAAAAGGGCCATGACGAAAATCAAGTCTTTCCCGGCTGGGGTTTTAATCTGCGAACAGTGTTTGGCATCATTTCGGGCGGAAATATCAACACACGACTTATTGAAGTTGGAATAATGAAGTGTACTCTTTGTCTCGTCTCATCTTACCGTCCCGTTTTCGTAATGATCATCTCCGTCCCTATTTCATGGAACTTGTCCCAAAGATCTTTATTCTCGAGTTCCACTTCTATGGAGTCTGACCTTAGCTGTCCGTGAGGTAGACCTGATGAGAAGCCGAACGCCATAGTATGTATCTGAGAATATCCCGTCTGAACTTGGTTGGGAATGGTTGTCGATGTACCGTGCATGTCCTCGTAGTAACTCGATGGACGAGAGTACGACATGAGTGAATCGACGTGACGGTCTGGAAAGGGAAATATGTAGAAGGCGGCTTGCGTCTTAGAATAGCATGTGACTCGGGACATGTTTGAGGTAACTTTGTAATGTGTAACTCAAGGAAGCCACGGGTTCGTTACAATTCCCATTACGTCAACGAGCGTAGGAAATAAGGAGGCTTAACGCGGCGGACGCGAGCTAAACAGATAAAAATCGGTGCTATTTTGAGGCTACTTACCGAAATCGAAGTCTTGACCCTGAAGTATTGAGCTAGTGGTGCAGCCGAGAGGCAGACCAGCACGTGTGTTAAGCTGGCCTTCCGGGCTTTCAACGGATGTCATCATAGCAAACGGAAAACTAAACAGTACTCGAGAGCTTGTGTGTTGGCTTTAAGATAATGCACAGCCAGAACGAGCTTTTTGTTAGAGCGATATTAATTATTCGACCTGCGTGAATGTATGTCCAGCAAAAGTTGTTGGTCAGTCTATTGATTGCGCCGCTGTTTGCCTGGTACGAAGAACAGTTGACCCAAGACCCTGAAGCGAGTCAAACTCATAAACAGCCCTGCCTGTTCGAGTATAAAGTTTTGCTGTTGTAATCAATCATTAAACGATTTTATTTATACACCATAGAGACCTAATGTCGCTCTCTACTGGACATTCATAAATCACTTAGGCGTACTGCTCAATTACTGTAATGAAACTATTAGCGCGACGATTGGCGGAGCCGCTGTCACATACCCATCAAACTTGCCTCTAGAGCCTAATAACGTATGACGTTTTTGTCGTTTCCTGTTTGCCTTTAAATAGCTATTGTCAAGACAATCAATTTGTCGTGTGAAGAAGGCGGACTTGGACAGCCCATAACAACGAACATTACACCAAAATTATCCGCGAAAGAATTACTCGGATATTTTGCTTGAAAAGGAAATTACACAATGAATTTGAATGAGAATGGAGGGCTGGTTGAACGCGCACACGAGACAATACAGAAACGATCGTACAAGATCAACATAACCAAGTATTTCCGGATCTGTTGATACTCAGCATTTCTGACAGAAAAAAATTTGGAACGAGTCCTCTGGGAGTACGACCACGGTCTGAAATTAGAAGAAAACAAAACAACCATATTTCAATTTGTTTTGTACTCGACCTGAAAAGAATGCACTCAACCATAACACTTTGTGTAACTATGAGCAGCTAGCACGGCAGTGACACGGTCATTGTCTAGCATCAGCTTAAAAAACTAATCAGAAAAACCATCGAGGTTTCAATGATAGGTTTGTACTCGAAAATAAATAAAAACATTCTTTTCTCTAAAATCGAAGATAAAACGAATCATGGCGGAGAGACAATTGATTTACGGCTGAATTTACCACTGATTGACAAGTAAGTATTTACATATTGCACCAGACCAATAGAGATTACCTTTCAACTCACGTACTTATCGTAAAAGCTTCAAGCAAAAAGTTTTAGATCACACAACGGGCTCGATCTCTGGCAAGAAATTAAAGAAAGTTCATTCAGGGCCGACAATTTTATTTGGAAGGTGTGTGACGCTGAAGTTTCTGTTTACCAAACTATAAATATATTTGTCAGGTTATAATATTATTCCCTTCAAATTTGCGAATTTTCTTGGCTTCAATGGCACTTAAAAACTTCACAGAAGTTTGCGGAGTCATTTTATTCGTGTTTACTTTGCGAACTTAGACAAACACAATCCAACAAAAAATACATCTGATGCTGAAACAACAAACCAAAAAAAAGAAAACAAAACAAGATACTCTTTCGCATTACCTTCTTGTTAAAATATATTAACCTCCCAATTTTTCAGTGGGCATTCCTCTTCCGCCTTCAAAATGATGATGTTGAAATTTCTAAAGTGCAGCTGCGTAAATGTTTCACTTGATTAAATGAGTTAAAACCAGTCAGTGATCTACCTGCCTGCAAACTTCGCTCGTATTCGTCGAAAGTAAAACGAAGCAAAGTCAAAACTCTTCACTATCAAAAATTGCAACATGTATGAATATCTTGCAGCAACAAAATAAAAAAATAACAACGAAACCGCAAACATTCCTCGGTTATAACAACTGGTCTTGAGGAAATATGAGCGTCAGCTTGCATGCTAAAAGCTTTCAACTGGGAGATTAACATGAAAAGAAGGTAAAATCATTTATTGGTGCTGATTTGTATAATCTCTTGTTTTGTTACCTCGTAAAACTCTGAGCTGTTGTTAGACTAAGCGAAACTGTTAAAGATGTTATCTGCGGAGACTACGACGCTTTGTTCCAGCACGCACGCCAGATAATGAACTTGACAGCTGAACTGTTCAGTTGCTTTCCATGACATTTATTGACGATTTTTTTGAAAACGATTCATTAGGGTTTAGTCAGAAAGAATTGCCTTCACACAACATTTCAACGGAAACCAGGCAATCATCAAAATTTTTGCCATTTTTCCCTCTTGATGTTTTTGTTGTTTTTAAGTGTGCTTTTTTCAAGCGTGCGGTTTTTGACACGTAAAGACGACGAATTGCTTAATAATAGGGGGTTTTAGGGTACTATTTAGCTCTTAAGTCATCAACACAATCCTTTGATGGACCTGCACGTTCTTAGACGAAATCACAGCTAGCTCTCACTGGGTAGGGTACTTTTCGTCAGACTATTGTGTAAACACTTGTAGTCCACAGCTCTTTCAAAGCTACCATTATTCAAAGACATCGTCAGCACTTTGCAAGTATTGAAACTGTAAACATTTTGTTTGGATATTTCAACAGCTGAAGGGAAATAAAAAAAGCTCTTCGTGGTCCTATTGTTATCAACAGAAATAAAATCTCTTTAGCTTTGTCTGTATTGTTGAGTGCGTTCTAGACCACGAAGATCAAAACTCAGCCATTAATGGGTCCGTCGTAGAGCGGAAATAGCCTGCGGGCTTCTTATTTTTAGTTAATCCTGACCTCGACTAAGGTTCTGTTTTTCTTTCTATCCTGGATTACTGCTCATAAATGCAAACCTTTCAAGCACGGCATTAATTTTATAAAGCAGGAAACAAAGTAAATGACACTTTTGAAGCCCTTGTCCATACTAGACAATAGCTACTCTCAGTTTTAAAAATATTCATCTAATCCTCGTACCCAAATAAGACACATTTTTGAAATGCTTCCAGACAGTTTTCCTAAAAAGAGTTTTTCAATATTACAAAAGGTTTCTCGACAGCTTTGCGTTCTTATTTCAAATGAATAGCAGTATTTCATGTTTCCGTGTAAATTTGTTTCAACATTTTGTTTATCTTCTACCCCTTAAAGAAAATTTAATCGGGTTAATTTGGCGTAAGTCCATCTTCACAGATAGTTAACCATGATGAAACATTGTTTACTGTATTTTTCTGTCATTAAAAAGGACAAGTCACTGATATCGTCAGTTAATGGATCCAAAGAGTTGCTTTGATTACCAAAAGAGTGGAAATATCCGTGAATCCGAATTTCGGATCCATTATTGGCTCGTCACCGGGTCAACAATCAATAAACTACTAGTTGGACAATTTAATATTTAATTGGAAACCCTGAACAACCGAAAAAGCTTAAGGCTACGCGGTTATTGCACGTTGTGGTGGAATACGCTGTCAAAACACTTAGTCCCTGGTGTTAATATTTTTTCAGCTATTGTTTGTATAGGTATGCCATTAATGATAGAGAGCTATTAAGTCTTAAGGACTTTTTTTTCTGGCTTTTTTTACCCTTTTTTTGGCCTTCAACCTCAAGCCAACCTATCTAACAATGGTCACTCCGGCAAGTGACGCACATTACACGTTTGATACCTTGGTCGCTTAGGGATAAAACAAGATAAAAGAAGAGTATAAATGGGTTTAGATAGAATAAGGCTAATCGTATTACAAGGGGCACGTGGAAAGCCATTAGACTCCTAAATGTAGAAAATTAAAGATATTATGTGGCTTTGGGTGGAAAAGTATGCTTATAACTACTAATCGCTGTTTTATTTCAAAAAGACTTTATTGCGAAGTGGTTTATATTGTATATATTCCTCCCTTTTGGACAATCTTTCCAAATGGAGATATGCAAACTTATCCAATACCCGTAGTGAGAGGTTATTCTTGCGTAATGATACCGTATCGAAAATCTATTTTATTAGATATACAACAGATGTTTGACTTTTTTAGTGATCACCCAGTATATTACTCGATCTCTCAGCCTCAGAGCTTAAACAGCTCCCCATACGAGATTGCATAGCTTTCAACTCTTAAGTGCTTCATAGCTATTTCAGAATATATTACCTGATTAATGCGTTACTCTATTCCTTCATTCTTAAGAATTTCTCTACCGGTTTAACTGATCAAGAATTTTTATATTGAAAACTTTTTCTCTCAAAGATATCTTTCACTGACATGTCCAAGATTTCGAATGCCAATGCCACTTTTCCCAGGAGCAGTCTTTACATAATTGATGCTGATTTTTGTGGCTCGTGACCTCTGTCAAAACCAACTCGCGGTTTCAGGGTGTTTTTTGGCCAAGTTTCCGTGACTCAAGCCATCGATACTCCCAATTTAGCGAATTCTGATCCGAAATAAAGCAAGTATTTTCAGATAAAGAATATCAGCTGAACTTATGGAATCCTGTTATGGTAAATCTAATTTATTTCATAACTTTTCTAGAAAAGTTCTAAAACCTGCAATTTCACCAGTTAAAGCAATCAGGTATTCGCTCTGTTGTGCTTTACTCGAGGAAATCAGTTGTAACTCGGCCATGTTGTTTACCTTTCTTAATTTAGAGATAACCATGAAAGAAGCTTTTTCAAAAAGAGGGTAAAAACAACTCAATTATCCGGTTACAATTTTTGAAGAGGTGCCAGAACTAATTCAGGGTCTAGATCGCCCAGTAAATGCTGTTATTTTACGCTAAATTGTGACTATTTTGGTTTCTGTCGCAATCGAAAAGTGAGGGAATGCAATTAAGATGAAAGTGGTGTAATAATTTCCACTACAGACAAGAAGTCTCCAACTTTTCCGTTCAGTGTCACTGAATGTCCCACCCCTCTGACCGTTTTAAAGGATTTCTTGAAACTTTCTTAAAATAT